CATATGAACTATCAAGTGAACAGAGTATAAAAAGGTGACGCATACGTCCTAAAAGAGTATATATCCTTCCATCGCCACTTTTCACTTCCTCTGCAATGATGTTGAAGTAATGCAAACAGTGGTCATATTCCTGTCAGAGATAGCAACAGATATTTATGATGACTTTCGAAGGGTCAGAGTTTTGTCCTTATACAAACAAATGATAAGTTTTCATGACTCTAATCCACCTTCACCTTCCACTTTCAGTTTGTCGGCTCCACTACTGGTGGTATGCAATCCACTTTATATCGAAGAGTCTATTGCACAAAGAAGAAAGAAAAAGAGTACATGAACAGATCCTCATTAGTGAAAGCAATGGAACAGTAGGCTAAAAAGGATATTGATTCACTTTGTCTGCCGCAAATTGTAGCTATCATTCTACCTTTTTGAAGAAAGTTGAATATGAGTTATCCCAAACAAGTTTGTAGTTTCCAGCCATTAGCGTAGAGAAGTTTCCCTGTAGGAATAAACACAGTGAATCCCCAAAACGATGACATTAAACAACACAGCAATGCAACAACATCTACAAAAACTCAAAAGCTTCCCCACATATGCACATATGCACATGGCACTCACCTGGTCAGCTTCATACCGACGGTAAGGTAATATCAGCTGCAATAAGAAAAAATCGTAATCACCCCTCAGAATATAAACTTCACTATTTGAATGGATATTTTAAAGAGAGAGATAACGTTTGCACTATACACTAGTAAAGTTTATTGACAGTTTGGAAACTAAAGAGCACACTCACAGTCTTTTCCCCTGACGCACTTATGTACTCCACGCTAAATCCAATATCCTGTTAAAATAAAAATAGGAATTAAAACAGAGGACAAACCAAATAAGGGTCAATAAACAACAATTATTGTTTGTCTTTCACATTAAAGATTCATCACAGAGAAAGAAAGGCTGCCCACTAAGTGCGACAAAAGCTAACTAGATTTTTGCAAAAACAGCAGCATATACAATTTTATTTCTGCAATAGGGCAGATAGAGACAATGTGTGATGCTCTCGGCATGTAACCCCAAAAAAGAAATAAATACAATTTTTCATGAATATCTTGTTACTGTAGCTACTAAAAGAGAACAGCCTAGACACTAAACCAAGCAAGAAAAGCAATCAAATGATTTATGGTTACATAATGCGGAAACAGATCGAGGGTTCAAAAAGTGATACCATGCTTATCTTGCCTTGCATCAAGGAGAAATCCCAAGCAATGTATGAATTTTCGGATTCCACCATCAATGAGACCTAGAGAAGAAACAACAACCATCAATCAACGAGATGTACTTACGCACTCAAATGCAAGTGCTTATACTTTTGAGTTTTCTTTTTCCCCCACCACAAAATGTGAATGCCACAAACTATTGTCATTAACATCACTTTTCACTTTTTTGAACACAGCGAAACTCTTGTAAAGAGTCTAATAATGGCAAAACATTCAGTTTTCATTCATAAACAAAGGCATTTGAGGAGAACATAATTACCTCATAGGTTCTCCCAGCTTGAACGATTATCTCCTTGTACTCCTCATTTTCCCTAAGTACCAACTGTTAGATATCATGAACTGTATTGAGAATTTTGTGAATGATGGAAGCTAACCTTGAGCCTAATATCCCAGTGGTATCTGCTGAAATGAAGAAGGGGGAATTGGCAAATACATCGCTGAAAAAGCACAAAGCAAAACGTTAAATTCTACACTAGTGAGAAAGCAATGCCTAAAGACGTCTAACCTACCTAAGTAATGTTGGAACTGTAGAAACAAAAACTTTAACTAAAACTGAAAAATAACACAAAACTAATTAATTTACTCTAAAGCTTGATAGGAATGCTTTCACATACTAGCAACAATGGGTTAGGAGATTAGAAAAAACTATCAAAGGAAACAAAGGAAAACAAACATCAACGGAGCAAAGAAAGTTTCAAAAGTGAATTTTCCCCATTGTGATCCAGTACAGTACCACGACCCACGAACATCGAAAGGAAGATGGTAATTAGTACCTGATAAATGTGACGAATCTTTCAAACTCAGATGTATAGACGATAGCAGCTTCAGACAGGAGATTCATTTGGTCTTTATTCCTGCTCATCCCACATATAATAAATTGTCAGAACCTCAGTTCATTGAAAGATATCATGAATACTTGAAAACTTAATTTAACAACAAAAAAAAAGGGAAAATATTATCCAACTATCTTACAGTTCGAAGGTATCATATCTTTCCCACAGAAGAGTAAGGAAAACCCGAATTGCCGTCACCATTTTTGTGAGACTGTATAGAGGAGGTCCATAACGTTCTCGTTGTTCTTCCATTGGCCTTTACACAAGAAGATTAATTCTATCAGTTAAAGTTTCTAATGCAACCTGAATTTTCTGCCACCATAAGCAAACACTCATTGACTTTTACGAGTGAGACCATGGTACATACCCATCATCATCATTTAATTGTCGAATAAAGTCCAACAACACCTACAAGGTATGCAATAAAAAAGAATCAACAACTAAATGCATGTATGCAAAATTGGAGAAGCCAAATGGAGTATGAGGGCTATCGGCGGAGAAGATTTGGTGAAGAGAGCGGACGGAAAAGAAATTTGCCAGGAAGAGTGGATGGGTAGGCCTACCTGTGGAACCCCTACCAAGTATTTCACCAGGGTTTTGTAGACACCAGTCGCAGAGCCTAGCTGAGCCAACTGTCTCCTCCTATGTCAGAAAAAAGTCAATAAAATGCATAATACATACTCTATGTAAGCAAGCATCAATGAACAAATCAGAAACGAGCAGGCTCACCTCTCCATCTGTTGCTTCCAAAGAAGAGCATATATGTCGCGTATACTCCCTCCAGAGCTAACCAAGGCATCCACCTCCGCCTGTTTGTTCCTCTCCGACCTCTCTTTCTGCTGTCTGATGAGCGTTCCTCGGAAATCTTGAGGCATGTAGGTCATAACTGTAGAACAAAAAACAAAAGCATCAATACTCGTATGAAGCTGTTTATATCTATGTAATGTATAACAGTGTATGCGTAGAATTAACCTGTGCTGAACACGCGCTCGGAGTTTTTCGTCTGGAAGGAAATCAAAGCAGTCAAAGCGTTATCAAAATTGTCCTTGAGATGTCGCAAAATAGAAGAGAAATCAGCATCTTCGGATGTGGAAGGTTCCCGAAGCTGGAGCAAAACCAAAAAAAAAAAAAAAAAAAACTCAAGAGCGATGTCACCAGAAGCAGGAGCAACAAGGTTGGGGCAAGGGACAAAACGAAGCTAAGATTGACCTGAGCAGGCCAACGAGATGGTTGCAGAAGAAACAAAATCTCCTCCATCTGCTCCCGATTTTTCCACATATTCTCATCAATTTTGTGAGGAGGTTGCCGATTAGCTTCGTCGATCAGCGAAGCTTCCCCTACAAAGGGAACGATAATAAATTTATGGTAAATTCAAAAAGTAGGAAATCAAAAGCAGGATTGGTGATACTATGGGATCGAGAACCTTGAGAAGGGGGAGACTGGAGGGTTAGTAGCTGATTAAGAGAAGCGATGTCAGAGGAAAGCCGAGAAACGTCGTCGGAAAGAGGAGGGAAAGGATATTTGTCGTAGTATGAAGCGAGAAAAGCCCGGGTGATAGGCACAAGTCCTTCCGTCGAAGCCATGTTCAAAATCCTTGCGCGATCTACTCACTCACATTCCATGCCGGCGAAGAGAAGACTAAATTGAGAAAATGAAGGAGGATGAAGAGAAGGGGATATTTGGTCCCAAAAGGCTTATTCAAAGCCCATCTACTGGGCCTTTAATTATTGCTTAAAAAAGATTGGGCTATCGTCGTCGTCGTCTTCTATGCTTGTATATTAAAAAAAAAAAATTGTTTATGATGAATGTGAATCAAAGAGCGCGCAGACAATCTCAAGAATTCATTCATTCTATATATGATGATGATGATGATGATGTTGGTACAAGAAAGACAGAAAAGAATAGAGTTAAATGGAGCAAGAAGTACAATGGCATGACTTGGGAACAAAGGCGCAAACGCCAAAGGGCTTGTTGGGAAGTTGGCAATTGATACCGAAACAGCAAGGCATGGTGGCACAAGTGGTCGAGGAACAGCATTTGCACTCTAAGCATAGCTCCAACGGCGTCATCAGCTTCCTCCTCCATACTCCTCTGTATTCCATCATCCCCGTCTCCACTGGCCACATTTCTTCTCCACCTGCACACACGAGCCCAGATAAGATCCGATACTAGTGGCTATCATCCAATCACAAAAGGATATAATATAATAATCCACCTTGGCCATGGGCTGTCATAACCAGAATTGTTGCAAGCAAGCCTAACAAAATCGCACCGTGTCTGCTAATGCTAGGCTCCATAGTTTTCCCGAGTCAAGATGCTGAAGATAGATTTGGTGATACCAAGATCTGTGTGGTGGATAAAAAGAGTTACAGGTGAGAGAGAGAGGGTTTAGTGGGTCACTCCTCCAGATTCCTTTAAGTCCAATCATATACAGCGAAGGCAGCATCAATTTCGCAACATCTCACTCCTCATCATTCCCAAGTCCACTACAGTCAAAAATCATTCCCCAATCACAAGTGCATTATTATTAACAGGCCAACAGCCAGCAACGTTCATCACTTTGGATGTCTTCTCTTCACCAGTACTATCTGCAACAGTACCAACCCTTCATGGCCGGGGAAAGTCCTAAACCTTCACCACGGAGTGATTAGAGAGAAATGTTGACTAATACAAGCACTACATCAGAATGCGGGGATTAAACAAAAACCACGCTCAATCATAATCATACAAGACTCTAGACAGATCAACACTGTATTGTGGCAATAAACAGCAGCAACAACAACAACAAAAACAACGTGAAGCAAACCGCATCCATGATTTTTAGCAACTAGACGTTTGGCTCAGAGAAAAATTACGCAAAAGGAGACACTGCGAACCCATTATGTACACTTGACACTTATCACCGCACTCTGCATGCTGCAGGTCCACCCGGTGAACAACTTGGATTGGGTGACCTGCAAATGGCACCAGGCCCAACATTCTTTGCAAACCTCCGGTGCATTCTATAATCAGGCACCCCTCCCATTGCAAATGCAGCTCCAGCCGCAGTTGTTGCACCAGGTATTAGGGAATCACCTGTACACTGCAAAGGTTCCAAAGTCTCAACCACATCACTCATCAATGGCCTAGCTTTCGGGTTCTGGCTAAGACAGTAATACGCCAAACTGCATGCCTTCTGAGCTGCCCTGACAGAGTATTGGTTCTCCAGCCTCGGGTCAATTATTTGCAGCAGCTTTCTTTTATCATTCAGCTTCGGCCGAGCCCAATCAACCAGGTTCTGCTCTTTGCTAGGTCTTGTCTTGTCCACTGATTTTCTTCCTGTCAACATCTCCAGAAGAACAACTCCAAAGCTGTACACATCACTTCGGGCCGTCAGGTGTCCTTGTTCATTGGTAACAGAGTCAAGTCAGTGCGTATTTGTGTAATGGTTTAAGCACTTATTGGCATGCAAAAAGAGACACTTTGTTGCTCGAAATAATGTTGAGAAATAGGAGTGCACATCAGAGGCATGGTTCAAAATGAAACGCCACAGTACTATATGCTAAATATTAGCAAGGTACCTAAGCAGAGAAGTAGAGGTAACAGCAGGTTGAACGGAAAGATAAGTTGAATCAGTTCAAGTGAACTCCCACATTTAGTTAACAAACTACCCTATTTTCAAACGGTAGGACCTATATAAACAGTATTCATCGCTCCCATCACAGACCAAGCGAAAATAAGACACTGCACGAGCAACATCGTATATGCAATAAGTTGAAGGTGATACATGTCGCAATATTATGCAATTCATACCAGTCATCACATATTCTGGGGCAGCATAGCCATAAGTACCCATCACTCGAGTTGATACATGGGTTTCATCACCCTGGGGCCCAGCTTTAGCTAACCCAAAATCTGAAAGCTTGGCTGTGTAGTCCTGCAGGTTCAACCCAAGCAAGGACATATTAGCTGTGAAAAGGTATTCCCAATGTCTTGGAGGAACTTTTGGAGCGCTGGAAGAAAAGAATGACTAGTTACCGAGTCAAGCAGTATATTGGATGTCTTGAAATCCCGATAAATAACCGGTCTTTCAGCGTTGTGGAGGAAAGCAAGCCCTTTCGCCGCTCCAAGAGCAATCATCATCCTTCTAGACCAAGACAGGGGAGCTGTGGTTTCTGAGGAGAGGCCATGGTGACTTGGTTAAATATAGACTAAGTATGATGAGCAGGTTAACAAAACGGAATAGGCGAAAAGCAAAAAATCTGCGCAACTCTGATAGTACATGTGTATAGTCGACTTGTATACTAAATGGAGAAGGGTGCGGGGATTACTTCGAAAGAGGTGGTTCTCAAGACTGCCTCGCAGCATGAACTCGTAAACAAGCAATCGGTGATCGTCCTCGCAGCAGTAACCAATAAGCTTGACGAGGTTGGGATGACGGAGCTGGCCGAGGAAGTTGACCTCGGTAAGCCATTCACGGTGGCCCTGGAGGCCCTCCTTGTTGAGGACCTTGACGGCTACAGGGAGAGACTTGAGGCCAACGCGGAGATTGTCATCAATGTAGCCCTTGTAGACGGTGCCGAAGCCGCCTTCTCCGAGAATATAGTCGGGGCGGAAACTCTTGGTGATGGTCTCGAGCTCAAATAAAGTGAAGGGGATGACCTGGGCATACGAAAGAGGAGTGCGAGAGTCGTCCCGGAAGCGAGGAGTGGATGGATCGCTCAGATCTGAGACGGAGCGGGAGTGCTTCTTCTGGAGCTGTTGGGCTGCGAGGTGAACCAAAGAGAAGAGAGATCAGGAAAAAGGGAGAGAAATAGAGATGGAGATAGAGAGAGAGGGAGAGAAGAGAGAGAGAGGGAGACCTTGAGCTTGAGGAGTGAAGACAGCAGCCTCGTCTCTAGTACCGCAGTTGCCCATTGTCAGCAGATGGAATGCAGTGGAAAGGATCTCATTCTCAATCTCAAGATGCAGCACCAAGCCGATTTATCGATTTACTGATTCAAACCCTAATTGCAACCGGAGATGAACAACAACGACGCTCTCCACACCGAACCACTGGGAGTGGTCTTCTCTTCTTCTCTGCCTCTACAGTTTACAGGCAGGAAGTTGACACAGTCTACTCCATGTTGCCGAAAGCGATTGGGCTTTACATTTCTTTTTCCTTTTTCACATGGGCCATACTAATGGGTCTGCTTCGGGGTTATTAATACTGGGCCGATTATGAGGATACATATCTTATTGCTCATCAGAACTGGTCGGTGTCTCGACCACAGGCACAGCAGTTCGCATATGTTATCCTAAAATGATCGATATACATTTTTGATTTTCATATGTTTTGGTGATCAGCTTAGAATTTGGACTGGAGTTTATTCCCTAAATTATTCCAAACAAAATGTATATCGGTCATTTCCTTGGCAATAAGAAAGACAACTAGGTATTAGATTAGAAAATCATCCCTCAGCCTTTTGTTATCCTAATACAAAATAATAAATGTATGGCCGGATGGTGACAAGCCGACCTTAGCTAATCCAATAGACAATAGTTATATCCTAATCAAACTAGTTAGCTTGGCCGTATTAATTAAATGAGCCAAAGAATAAGAAAAAAGTAGAACGAGTGGTGGTTGTAGATGATGAAAGGGGGGGGGGGTATGGGTCATCTTGAGCCACGCAAGTCCGAGAGACAGGTCATATTTGTAATCTAATAAAGTGTCTATAATCCAATGAGAAGCATTCGAAGAACAAAAACCACCATGTGGGGGTCGTAATCTGGAGCAGGGTGGGGGAGAATAAAGAAAAGAAGACAAGAGAGAGTAACCGAAAGAGAGATGAACATACATGTATATAGGGTCCCTTGAGGTTGTTGGTGGGGTGATATAAAAGGGCAGCTACTTCTTGCTCTGTTGTTTGGTAAGCTCCTCTGCTTGCTTTATCATCTCTCTTGAACAGCAACTCAAGCAACAGAATGGCGAAGGTTCATCCTAAGGGCGGGAAGAATCCGTCCCTAGAAACGGGCAGCGAGGCGTCTGTGTTAACGGTTTGGAAGAAGTCTCTGATGTTCAGCTGCAACGGCTTCGCGGTGTTCGACTCCAATGGGGATCTCGTATTCCGAGTGGACAACTATATGCACGGCAACAGAGGGCAGATCCTTCTGATGGACGCCTCCGGCAAGCCTCTCCTTACCATCCGCCGCAAGGTATTTATCATCTTTTCCAACATATCCCTCTCACACACGTACGTACGTCCACTATATTAATCTGAATCATTACATATATAATCATGATAACAGATGCTGAGCCTTGGAGATTGCTGGGTGGTGTGCGAGGGAGAGACAGCGTTGAAGCCGCAGTTAACGGTGAGAAAGCGCCTCAACAGACTGAAATCGAAGACACTGGCCTACGCCACCAGCACCTGTTCAAAAAAGAAGACATACCACATCCAAGGATCATACTCCCAGCGATGTTGCGTGGTGTACGACGCTAACCAGCGGAAAGTGTGTGAGCTGATAAGAAAAGAGGGTGTGGGAGACGACGTGTTCCGCCTCGTCGTCCACTCTTCTTTCCAATCTCCCATCGCCATGGCCCTCGTTATACTCCTCGACCAGATGTTCGGCGTCTCCTAGTCATTTTAATATCCTTCCAACATGTTTACTCATAACAAACTTAATTATACATATACGATATTCCATTTTCTCAAAATACAAACTGTATTGTATATATATCACGAAACGAATAGTGATGCGAATTTTCCTATAGCCGGTATAATACCCCTATTTATTATATGTATCTTGCTAAAAAAAAATGTAAACTAGGCTCCCTTCTCCTCTACTTTAATTACAATGGACTCGTTGCAACATGCATCTCTCGGAGTAAAGATGACTTGCATAGAAGGAAATCCTAGCAAGACCGACAATCCTATTTTGGTTTGGAGATTGTGCCCTAGATTTATGAAATAGACATGAGGCTTCTTGCCTCTTGGCATGAATTTTGTACGCAATCCCACCACATATTAATCACTTGGAGTCCAAGTATAGCCGAAGCAAATCGATTTTGAAAATTAGTATATCAAATCAGTTGCACATATCAGTACTTCATAGTGGACGTTTTCTACAGTACAAATTATAACCAAACATTGGAGAAAGGGCCTACATATTCATATTTTGTTGAAAATACTTGTTAAGCGTACACTTCTTTTAGCTCGTCTCTGATCTAGTGATATTTCTTCAACCAACACGCTTTAACGATTTATTTTCCGAGTCCTAATTAAGAACCTTACTGTTACATACGCCCCTGCTTTGTATTGACAAAAGTAACAAGTTTGGGCATAAAAAAAAATTGAGTTGTTTTTTTTTTTTTCTTTGAAATTGAGTTGATCTAAATTATTCTTTCAAAACTAGAAAGAAAAGACATGTGTGATATATGCATGTGAATATGTGATTCCCCAAGATATAGGCGATCAAATGATTAACAAGCTATTATCAGGGTCCAAACTATATTATTAAAGACTCGGATTTAATTATACCACTAATCCCCGATCCCATCGAGAGCTTTGATCCGACGATAATAAAAATACATATATAATTGTATCAGTTGTTATGTGTGTTCACATGCACATACGTGCTCCCCGAATACAAGTATGATGTATGGTGTAACTTGTGAGCTGCTACCTAGCTGTATCGATTTGATTTAATTATTTGTTAGCCAAACAATCAATGATGGGAATTAGAAGCAAGAGATAGCATATATATATATATATATATATATATCTAGACTCTAGAGCTAGCAGAGAGAGTTTTAGGAAGTGATCCGGTAATTAATAAGATGAACCAAGGAGAGAACGAGGTGGGATGGATAGATGAAGTCTCGGATGGTGATTCTTTTATTGAAATACAAATCAACAAACCAGCAACCGGATTGAGCATCTCATCTTCTTCTTCTTCAACATCTCCCGGTAATGAAATGCAGGCGGCAGCGATCTTCTCCTCGGCCTCTAGCTGCTTCTCTGCATACAGCAGCGTGACAAGGTTGATGATGAGACTGGGGTGTTTGAGTATAGTAGGAGTCATAAAGGAGAAAGTCAACGTGGGAGAGAAGTGGGTTCTTAAAGTTGTACACGGACGACGAAACAAGAGCCCCCTTCATTACTACTGCGAAGACAGCACCAGTTACAACGATGAAACATTAACGGATGACTCCCTCAAGGCAGCCATCGCTTATTGCAATGCTTCCTCTCTCTCCCGTCCACAAACTTAATCTATTTTCTTTAAAGAAAATCTTACTACAATGTCCATAATCACAATAAGAAACTAATATGTATTTGGGTTTGGGTCCAATTTTTGATGGTGCCATATGTAATTTCATATTGGCATGTACTGTTTTAGTAATTAATACTTTAGGTAAAATATTATTTGATATATATATATATATATTTAGTATGTTTTTTTTTTTTTGTAAATAATGAATGTAACGTAATATTCAAAATATTTAGAGAGGTACTTTTATTTTAACTTGTGTTGTTGTAACTTTTAACAATTGAGTGAGTAGCCAAAAGGGAAAAAAGGTCACTGAATCGGCGGCCTTTTGGGCTTAGAAAGGGAAAGGAGTAAGGCAAGAGGCACGTGGCAAGCACAACAGAGAGAGAGAGAGAGAGAGAGAGAATCTGTAGTCGCAGAAATATCGCGAGAAGTTTTGATTCCTCTCAATCATCATCTCAGACTCAGTTCTCTGTTTTTCTTCCCTCTCCAGATTTCCAACCCAAGTCAACCGTCAAAATCGCTGCTTTTGGCTTGCGCTGGGGTTAGGGATTGTCACTTGTCAGAATGATAGCGCGGATTCTCGCCGCCTTGGCCGATTCCATGGAGATTCCGACGGCTGCCGGTGAATCGGTGCTGGGTACCATCAAAATCGCCGTGATGCCAATTGCCAAAGTTTTCACCATGTGCTTCCTGGGCCTTCTCATGGCCTCCAAGTACGTCAACATCTTGCCTCCCTCTGGCCGCAAACTCTTGAACGGGGTAATAATTGATTCCTTCTGACTTTTACGCCTTTGCACAGACGTGAGTTTTCTCAGCTTTGTCCTCTTCGTACAGTTGGTCTTCTCGCTTTTGCTTCCCTGCTTGATCTTTTCCCAGCTCGGACAAGCCGTCACTCTCCACAAAATGCTTCAGTGGTTTGTTTCCCTCCCTACTCTCTCTAGTCTTTACTCCTTAGACCACATTAGGTAGGTCCATAACGCATCTTCTTAATCAGGTGGTTCATTCCGGTGAACGTCGTTCTTGGTACAATCTCAGGGTCGTTAATCGGCTTCGTTGTCGCTTCCATCATTCGTCCGCCTTACCCTTATTTCAAGTTTACAATCATACAGATCGGAGTTGGTTGGACTCTTTTTCCTAAGACACATACCGTACCCTTGCTTGTCTCCTCTGTGGCTAGTCTCAGTTTATGTGCCTTGTTTGTTTCAGGTAACATCGGCAATGTGCCTCTTGTTTTACTAGCGGCTCTCTGTAGGGACACCTCCAACCCTTTTGGTGACTCCGAAAAGTGTAGCATTGATGGCACTGCTTATATCTCTTTTGGTCAATGGGTACGCTTTTCTCTTTAAAAACGGCTATTACACTTGCTAGAATCAGAGCATTAGCTGCTCAAGTTTGTGCCTTTGCTGTCTCCTCCTTTACAGTGACACAGTTTCTTGGCTTGTGTCTTCCCTGTTTAAGAATGGAGGAGCTACTTGTGTAACCGCATTGAAACTATCTTATATAGGAGCTATTCGTCATTAGTGTTTATGGAGTTAGATAGTATTTTGGGTCACTTCTCTAGTTTACATGTGGTTCTCTCTCAGGGGCTTTAATTAACCACGAGGTTTAACGTTTATGTCAGGTTGGTGCCATCATCCTCTATACATACGTGTACCAGATGTTTGCTCCTCCTCCAGAAGGATTTGATGCTGAAGAAGAAAATCTTCCTTTGAAAAACCTTCCAGTAGATGCTGCTCCAGAGCAAGTCCCCTTGCTTACTCAAAATTACCCCAAGGACATTTCATCTCCTCAAGTTCGCCTGCCTGTACGGAGCATCGAACCCAGTGGAAGAGGGGATTCAAGGAAAGGCAAGGTGAAAACGCAATTATGGATTTTAGCTTTATTATGGCTCAGGAGTATTTTGCCTGATACAAAGCCGGTCCTTATGAAATTGTATATTTTGCTCCGTGATGTAGGTGACACAGATCTTTGTTTTCCTCTATGAGAAGTTGAAACTGAAGCAAATTGTCCAACCTGCAATAGTTGCTTCAGTAAGTATCTCGTCTGTTCTGTTCTCCTGTACTATCTGATAACCCGATGAAGAAGAGTCCTTGCCATTGCCTTTACCATGTATCTAAACTAGACGTGTATTTTTGTTCACTTCAGATTCTTGCCATGATACTTGGTGCAATACCTTTCACGAAGAAGTTGATATTCACAAATGGTGCACCTCTTTTCTTCTTCACAGATAGCTGCATGATTCTTGGGTAAGCGTACTCTTTATATGTCTTCTGGAAACAGCTGCTAATCAATGATTTAGTAACTATAACCTTGGCTAACAGGGACGCAATGATACCGTGTATCTTACTGGCACTTGGGGGGAATCTCATTAACGGTAGGATGGTTGCTCTCTTTTCATACTGACTTGAATATGTTTTAAGCCCATATGGCACTTATTGGTTCCTTGCACAAAATTTAGGACCAGGAAGTTCAAAACTTGGTTTCAAGACAACAGCGGCAATTATATTTGGACGGCTGGTGTTGGTGCCACCAGTAGGACTAGGAATAGTGACATTAGCAGACAAACTTGGGTTCCTTCCTGCTGATGACAAGATGTTCAGATTTGTGTTACTCCTTCAGCACACAATGCCTACCTCTGTGCTCTCAGGAGCTGTTGCCAACCTTAGAGGCTGCGGAAGGGAATCGGCTGCTGTGCTTTTCTGGGTTCACATTTTCGCCATCTTCTCAATGGCTGGATGGATGGTACTGTATATCAACATTCTCTTCTGAATTCTTCTTCTTCTCCCACTTCTTGACACATTCATCTGCCACTGTACAAGTCTCTTAATTATACTTCGGTGAAAATACATGACCATCTCATATGTGCCTGCACCAACCAAAAGTCGTTGTCTTTCTTTCTTGTGTAAATGTGAGTTTATAATTCTTCTCAACTAATGCCAAATGAGAGCACTTCCTTTTTTTCTCTGAATAAATCAAGATTATATGCAACACACATCACAAGTTTGGTTAAGCTTCAATTAAACTAACATGTGCAAACACTGCAAGTCAATCAATATTCAGGAGATGAAACAGAAACTTAAAGTGAACCTTTTAGGGTCTGTAAACAAAGACAAATTCTGGACGAACACTGGTCATCAGCTGTCAGAAAAACGGCAGCCATCTTCTGGTCCTGTTCCCCCTTTGGCTGTGAGAGATTACTATATCCCTCCTCTGTGGATTGCTTAGCCACATAGCCAACACAACCCCCACCAGACTCACAACTGGTGCAGCAGCCAGAAACAGCCATCTTCCTCTGCTGACTCTGCTCACACCAGCTTCACTCTCCCCTCTCTCTACATGTTCCTCTTCCCCCGCTTCTGTGTCATCATCAGAGGAGGAGCTACTCTCGCTCACATCCAGCACATTCTGCTTTCGCTCCTCGTAATCTTTATCATCTGTTGGGAGCTCGTACCGGCAGAGTGGGCAGGAGTTACGGGCACTCAGCCAGGGTATGATACAATGAGCATGGTATAGGTGGAGGCACGGAAGCTGCGTGGTTTCATTGCGGAGGGTGAAAAGCTCCTTGCAGACCGCACAGACTTGGCCCTTCTTTACATGCTCCTCTCCAATGATAACCCTTGGAAGACTCCTGACGCACGACACAGATGCAGGTGGTGCACCTCTTCTTGAATTGTCAGACTCAGCAAGTTGTTCAAGCAGCTCTTCAAAGCCTCTCTCATCAAGATAATCCGCAACATTTGTAGGATAGGGAGAGAACTCCATATCCTCCAAACCAGTGAAGATGTTGCGAGATAACGCCTGCCTACTCTCTATAATTCTTTGACGAAACCCTCTCTCAAGCTCAGGGGAATCAAACCGGGTCATGGAGCTGTAGCTCTCACTTGGACTTGCCAAATAATTTCTAGACCGTGGACCTGCAACATCAGATGGACCCGCTCCTTCCTCCTCCCATTCCCTGTCTTCTTCGTCTGAGTTCCACTGGTTCAGACCAGCATGCATGGGGTCTATATCAGTGTCAAAGTCAATGTCGCTCCTGTCGTCTGTTTGAACAAAGATTTCCGCATCCAGTAAACCATGCCTGTCCGTGGAAGCATCAGACTCTCCACCGTAAGCGCTAAGAGAAATGGCATCATAATCACCATGGGAAAATCTGTAGAGGCTAAAACTAGCGTTTGATTCAGTTTCGCCATAGGAGTTGTCAAAATCTTCACTTTCAGATTCTGAAAAAAATCTCCATCTTGTAGAACCACTTGGAGTGGTATGAGAGCTAGTTTCATGAGCAGTTGTCAGGCTTTGCCTTGCCATGCTTATCAAATGTGTGAATTGTTGGGTGGAAAGATCACCGACGGATTCAGAGCTGCCGTGCCTACTTCTCCGCCTCCGTCGCATCCTCCTAAATCTCCTCCTAGCTGTCTGCCGCCGGGTCAAGGGAGGCGCGGGGGTGCCGAAATCTTCAAGCAACAAAAACTTACAGTCTCCACATAAGCTGAAGGGTTCAAGATCATCGGAAGCGGATTGAACGACTCTTCCACACAGATTACACGCTGAAGATGGGATTGAATGGGTATCCACGGGGCCCTGCGGTTGCAATTCCATCAGATCCAAGGCTGCGACTTTGAGGTCTGAAAAGGAGGAGGGCAAATACATATTAGTTTGAGCAAGCAGCAAGGGCTAGATCACACAGAGATGGGATACACCATCTGTCCAATTGCTCGAATTTCTCATTTCTCAGAAAAAAACGACAAGAAGGCGAGGTAACAAAATCCGGATATGAGGAGAAAAGCTTACCCAAGGAAAACACCGGATCTTCAAAGGACCTAGGAAGGAGTCATCTCTCCAAGCAAAGAAGAATGGTCTCGGTGAGGGAGATGCAAGCAAATAGCAGAAGCCAAAGTTTGGGATTCAGAGAATGAATTTATGGCCGAGAGGGGTCAACTACGACGACCAGGAATGAGAGTTGTTGGGTAAATTTCTCATCCCTCTGTCTTTATTTTCTTTTTTACGTTTTGGATCAAAGTCTCTGACTCGTCAAGAGGGTCTCCTCCTGCGAATTTTCTGATTCATGAACCAGAGTGCCTGAATGCCCAAATTGGGATGGATACTCACTCAAGGGTCACAGAAGGAGTCGGAAACGGAGGCGTACAAGTCGCGCAGCGAAATCTCAACCATGTCGCTAAACCCTTCAAGGTAGAGTAGACTGTGACTTGTGAGTTCAAAAATAGGGGCCATTGCTTGAGAGATTTACATCTTCCATGATAGATAGATACTTTTGAGTTCAAAGGGTCATAATTGCACACCAATTCTTTCTACTGTAACGAACGAAGATGTTCTCCAGAGACGAGCTGGTTTGTTTAAATGACATATCTCGTTGCCAATTCAGATTCTGTCGACTTGTCCATTAACAAAGGCTAGATAATTGGCTTCTTTCTTGCGACCCTCGTGGGTCCGCATCCATCGATTTGTCCTTATAATTTTGTTTTTGTATATCAATCGTCCCGTCTCTCCTCTTTGCTAAGCTGTAACTTGTTTTCCAGGAGAAGAAACCGAAAAAGCAAACAAATAAAGTAAATTATGGCGTATAGGAGAAGGCAGGGGATCGCAAAGTTTGCGACTTTCCAGGACGAGATTGACCACCTTCCGCCGGAAAGCATCACCGACACCGCCGTCAAGGATATATCTCCGCCGACTCGATCCTTCACAACCCCTGCTTTTGACCAACCCAGATCTAAGGTTTCTCCTTTTGATCCTCAACTGATTGCTTTATGTTTCCGCAGTTTCTTCTTAGAGTATCATCAATGCTGAAACCAATTTTGACCAATCTTAAAAAACTTGAAGCTCCACGACGCAGACAATTGACTTCTGACTCTGTTAAAACTAAACTCTCTCACCTGATCAGATTCAGCTGAGGTCAAATCTAGTGATCTTCATTACAACTTGGGTTCATCTATGGTCTATAAAGGATCTGTGATTGTAAACTGCGGTTCATGATCTTTCTTCGCCCACTGATCCCATGTTCTTTTCTGTGGGTGTACGCTGCAGGGTTTTACGGCATACGAGACCGAGCCAAGGGGCTTGTGGGGGGTCATAGCCCAGAAAGCAAAATCTGTCATTGAAGATGACAAATCAACTGATAGCTCAACAGCTTCTCAGGTTTTGTTTTGGCGGTTTCAAGTACATAAATGATCCATCCTCTTGATTTGAGGTCATCATGGTTTGGTCTGTGTGTTGCAGTCCCGGTTTTCATACCTGTCAGATGAAGGGTTCACGAAAATGGATAATCCGAAGCTTCGGAGAGGGTTGGATAAGCTTACGTCTTCCCTAAACCAGATTGGTGACTCTTTTGAGAAAGCCTTTGAGGTGTTTCTTCTTCTCTGTCATTCTGGTTTCTTTCTCTTGTTTTGGTTGAATTGCCTTACATCCGTTCCTTGTTCCTCCAGGAAGGCCGGACGCTCGTGGAGAATAAAACAGCTGATATCATCCACGAAACACGAAAACTTCATGCTAGACGAAGAGGCACTGGTGGTAAAGAAGAGAATCAGAATCAATCTTATGGAGTAAGTAGCTCATGGAAAAAGTCCCCAGAGCAGCCACTGCAGCTAAATCATATGGAACATGAGACTCAACTCAAGGCATCTCGCGATGTAAGGTCCAGTCTTGATGGTTGGTTGGGCATTTGTGATGGCTCTGTCGGTTGATAGTTTCTTGCGTGAGCTGCAGGTAGCGATGGCCACGGCTGCCAAAGCAAAACTACTCCTCCGTGAGCTGAAAACTGTGAAAGCAGATCTTGCGTTTGCGAAAGAGCGCTGTGCTCAGCTTGAAGAGGAGAATAAACATCTGAGGGAGAACCACCGTGAGAAAGGAAGCAACCCTGCAGACGAAGATCTGGTAAAGAACTGAGTGATGTTGTATCCTAACATTGTTTGCTGCATTTCCATCTGACAAACTCGGTGTGGATGCTATTTTCTCAGATTCGTCTCCAGCTAGAGAGCTTACTAGCAGAGAAAGCACGGTTGGCTCATGAGAACTCAGTGTACGCAAGGGAGAACCGGTTCTTGAGGGAGATTGTAGAATACCACCAGCTCACTATGCAGGACGTTGTGTACATAGACGAAGGAAGTGAAGAGGTGACACAAGTTTACCCTTTTGTACCCACTTTGATGACTTCTTCATCACCTACGCAGTCTCCGAGCGAAGAGATAATAAAAGAGATTCTTCAATAGAGCTCTGTGTGTGGAAATGTGATTTCGGATTCGTTGTGCTCGATGCATTTTCATTCATTCATTATTATACACGATGAAATCAGATTGTGTCTATTTTCTTCTTTTTTTGGCTACGGAATATTATAAAAGGGGATTTCATATTAACAAATGAGATTGTATGAACATCTTTCAAGGCATCAGTGGTGTTTTTGGTTCACAGCTCAAATGGGCATTGTATATTAATACTCTCTAAGAAGACTAGCGAGTGAGCAGGTGAGTCTTGGGGCGACTTTTGTACTTTGGAGTCTTGTATGTGCTTTAATCAGAATATCTGGAAGAAAAGGCTGGTGGATCCATCACCGAATGATTTTAGATCTGCTGGTTTGACCAAGGCCCTGCACAGAGGACACGTCCTCTCTCTCTCAAACCTGCCCAGACAAAAATTACATTCCTTCAACATCCTGATTCACACAAGACAGACACAAAGAATAACTGCTATATGCACAAACACCTCACCACTCTGAAACGCAGTCTTCGCAGAACATGTGTTTGCAGCGCAGAAGAACTGGGGTGTGCATCTTCTCCTGGCAGATGGCACACAGGTCGCCCGCCGCATTCACCTGCACACATTAGAAAGCCACTTCTTTGCTCGTTTGGGCTTGAGTTCTAAAAGGCACTACTTAATTTTAAATCTTTAATATTATACTGTACCTGCTCTGTAGTGGCATACGATCCATAGTGCACCTCTTTGCGTGACAAAGCCTTCAATGCCGTAAAGAATGATTGAACCTGATTTGCATTTGCCCAAATTCCCTCAGCTCCCAGAATATAAAGGGAGGCTATAATTCTAGAGAAACACCTACCTTCTCAACAACTGAAGTGAGCTTGAAAGTCAGATACAATCCCGTCATCAGAGACGAGAAGAGGCTTCCATAATCCTTGTTCAAGAAGAAACGGTACCATACAGGGGTAGGCAGCAAAGAGCGATACAGAAGCATCAAATACTCAACCAAAGTTAGCAATTGACCCTGCATAAAAAAAAAGGTAAATAACCAATTTTATGATCGCTTGCCAAAGGTGTATCACACACATGCACAGTGAGCCAGGCCAGGTTGAACTGCTGAATACAGCTACAGGGGGCAGAGAATAACATTTTTTCTACATCACCTGTTTACGATAATTTCGACCCCTACTGTTCTTGTAGTACATCAGCAGAAAACACTTGAATATCATTGAGGCCTGCCGTACAAGTGTATCTGAGGAAAACAGGCACATGTACAAGTTGAGTAAGCACTAAATGATCCAACAAAATAGGGAATAAATGTACGAACAGAGGCATGCTAATATTTTGTGGATAAAGAAGAGATTAGTGGTTATTAGCTGAAGAAATGAGACTCATTAAGACAAGGGAACCAATATGGCAGAGAAGGTACACACCATTCACCACTATGATAAAAATGGCATGCCAGAAAGGTGGTATGGCCTTGGGAGGGAGCATGATTAAGGGATACAAGAGGTCATCCTTCCGAAACCACCAATAAACACCAACAACATGGGCCGTAAACGCTACAGAGATTCCGATTAACGCCGAGATATGCCTCTCACCCTGTAATCAATATTAGAGACATGCTTGAGGCTTGACTAAGCAATATGAACTTTGAATTAAGAAAGGAATAAGTGAAAGCAATGCCAAACCTTCAAAGCTGTTTGCTTTTTCAAAATATCATTGGACTTGAACATGACAGCAGCAATCCAAATTGCGACAAAGAACCCTGAACGATAGGCAGCAACAAAAGTCAATTACGTAAGCAGCCGTGAGACAGTATAACCAAGTAGTGGAAGAGCTAACGAAAAGGAGAGACATACCCTGCAAATGCTGGCGGATAAAAACCACCAGGAGCAGCAAAGAAAAGGGAAGAATTTGCTCGATCCACCGAGCAGCCTGCTGAATATCGTATCTTTGGTAAGGTGAATCCCGGCTTGCGGCTTCCCCAGGTACAGATTCACCTGGAGCAGCCTGAGAGGCCCCTTCTCCAGCACCCATGGGATCAACTTGACTACCAGAACCCAAAACTTCAGTATGGTCATGGGCACTGGCTTCCCTGGGACCATTATTATCAGTTTCAGCATCCTGCTCCCCGTTCCCAATAATCCGAATGGCGACCTCCCCGTTGGAGATTCCTGCAGAATCATCACTAACCAGCGTTTCCGCCTCCTGGCTAGGGCTTGTCCTTGTTCGAAAGAGACCCGAATACTCTAACAAGGTTGATATGGGGGCCTGGATGATGTTAGAGGCTGAGAGGATGGAGTTTCTTCGAGGAGAACCCCTAAAGGCGTCATGATTGGTGGCGGACGTTTCCATTTAGGCCGGAGAAGAAAACCCTAAGCATATATTACAATGAATCGAACGAAGATTATCAACAGTGGTAGAAAAACGCGTTTTTCAAGATAAAGCAACGAGTAAGCAGGAACAGGGATAAAGCGATAACACTACCTGCAACGCCGAGAACCAATAGAGGGGGCTTTGGGTGAACTCAAATCGTATTAGCTCATATCGTGTAGGAAACCCTAAAGCCAATCAATGGATAGGCGATCGAGGAAATGAAGAAAAAAATAGAGTCAAAAGGTAGGCGATCGCTTTGACTAAGGTTGAGGTAAAACAAATCCCAGACGAAGAACACAACGAAGATCCGGCGAGCTGGGGAGAGAGAGAGAGAGAGAGAGAGAGAGAGAGAGAGAGAGAGTAATTGCGTATTGTTCGTGAATCAACGGCTGTGAGGATGAATTGAATTGGAATTGCATTTGCAATTGCGGATCCAATCCGGCAATCCTAAGCCAATTCCAATCCAAAGGTTGACCGACCCTAAGGAAGCGACCGGCTTCTTTGAAACAGAGCCCATCGATTATGGGCCTATCACCTAACTGGGCTTCTTTGCAAATATATAAGTCCTACTAAAATAGCATATAAACTGGTTTCTTCATTTCACTCTGCAGCTACATGGATCGACGATCTACTACTACAACATCCTCCGAGAAGAAACGAAAGCAAGAAACATGATCCTTGATCCGATTTGTGCCTTTGATAAAGTCGTTTACTGATGGGTGGTTTTCTTTTAGTTCTTCAACCTTTTTTTTGTTTTTTGTTTTTGTCATAAACAGCTAGCTGTGCTTGGGTTTCTAAATGAGCCTACTTCGTCACAATCAATCGGCCCATAATATGGGGCCTCTCTGGTGGTACCAAGTCGGGCTTTGCTTCAAGTCCATTCCACTTTTGGTTGCAGCGACTACTCTGTCTCTGAATGCAAGCAGGATCAAGTAGCTTCAAGCACAGGACGACGTTGAAAGACTCTGCGGCTAAGGACCATAAGCTCTCTCTTTCCTCTAAAATATTATTATTGAGAAATCGCAATCCAATACTTGCAAGAATCGTCACGAGATATACACTCAAGAACCATCCGGTTTTGTTGAGAAAACATGGTGGAATTTACGTGCTACCTAAAACATAGACTCTGTTCCGCTCCTACCGGTTTTGCTCTCCAACCTGGACCTGGATTTGCGGCTAGCCTTCCGCCGCTTCTCTTCTCCACCAAATATCGAAATCCTCCCAATACCTTTGGAAAGCGAGGTCAGCAATGTTCCACTATGACCCGACTTGTCCATCATCCCCTGTTTCATCAAAACCTGCTCCTTCTCTAACTCGCTCAGCCTCACTCTCACCCTCGAGATCTCCAGCTTCAACTCTCTGTTCTCCCTCCTTAGCGATGCATAAGTGTCACGCGGAGACACTGCTCCGTTACTGAGTTTCTGTGACGACAACAATATCCCTTCCCCGGACTCTCCGGACATAACCTTCTTGAGACGCAGCTGTTCTGAGTAGAGGACTCGAACCACCATCTGCACCGGTAGCCGATCGTTCTGAGCCGCGTGGCTGCATGCTTCTTGTGAAAGTTTCTCAGTGTCTATGAATTTGCAGAGACTCTTGCATTCTTGTTCCGTCAGCGACGGATGCCCCTAACCATCATTACAAAAGCATTCCAACTCAGATCAATACGAGACACACAGTCTCCTTATTCGGGCCTAGAAACAGACTTTACCTTTAGAAACATATCAATGGCTCTGTAGAGCCCATCATCCATGACACGCGCATAATCGGGCAATATCTCCATCAAGGCAGTGAACCTGTGCAGACTCAGGCACGGGTCTGGTGCGATCTCCGCCAAATACGCATCCATGATCCGACCCACTTTTAGTAATGAGCCGTGGCAGGTGGAACCAATCAGACTCTCGGTCTCGTTCTCGCAACAGCACTCATCTTCGTCATACTCTTCCTCCTCCTCGATCCTCTTCAAGAAGCAGACGAGTATCCTATGGACAGTGTCCACATCGTACATGGAATCATCCCCGCTTTGGACGACAGGTATTAGAAGATCATCAAGCGAGACTGTTTCCAGATGCTGAGCGATTCTCCGCTCGAGCTCGAGCCTGCAAGAGATGGCTACGTCTATGGTAATCCCAACCCTCAACATTCCAAAGAGGAAACTCAAAGGGACTTTGTCATTAGGGAAAAGGCTAACGATGGCTTCAACGACGTTCCTCTGCTCGTTCTGGATTGTACCCGAGTCGAGCTTGGTCCGCTCCTGGCAGTTTCGCATACCCTTGAGCGATTCTTGGGCGTAATGCATCAGAGACGTGATGATGCTCTCTGAGCGCAGCCCTGTTCTGGCCATGGCGGAGACAACTCGGGCGTAATAGTCAATCCTCAGAGCAGAGAGGTCTTGGATCCACCACTCAGGACAGTCTCCTCTCTTGAGCTCCGCTGATTCACTGCCTCGGTTCAGCCGTGATAGCCCCAACACTAATTGTTCTCTGCAAGCATTTACAGCGATGGCCTCCACGCACCTTTCAGCAATGTCCTGAGGGTGAAGCGTCTCGCAGGAGCAGAGGACTTCCACGGACTTGTCCAGGCTGCGAAATGCGACCTGCTCGAGGTAAGTCTCGGCCCGTGCGATCAGGTTCTCTTCCTTGTAGTCCTCTGTCATCTCCAGGTAACCGGCTGCGCAGCGGAGAGCAACCACGTTGGAGACGGTGATCTCGAAGTTGATGCCGTAGCAGAACTTCATGGCGAGTTCGAACGTCTTAGGCCCGCCTGGGAAGTCTCGGAGCTCTGTATGCGACAGCTTTGAGGAGTCCTTCATCTCTGCCGCCATTTTCCTGATCTTTCCACAACGAGCCACCAGAGGAAACTGCAATATTCTTTAAAAACCCGTAAGTTGAATTTCGTCGAACATCTTGGGCGTGTATGTACAAAATAACAGGCCACTAACCTTGTGGAGTAGAAAAGGCTCTCCATCCACAACAATTGTGATATCTCCCGCAACATCGGAGAATATGCTGCAATTTCATATGATAAAACCGAATCCTTCATTCGTCGAGCAAGTAAAGACAAGAACAAAACAAAAAGGAACAAACTTTGAAATGGAGAGAGAACATACCGGGTGGTAAAGGGGTTGGAGAAGCTGGTGGGAGGAGCAGGAGTAGATTGAGGGCTGTCGTCGGAGATGCCCATTACAGAAATACACTTGTCAGCGTCTGCACTGATCTGGTAATGGTGGTATTTGCGGAGGAGCTTTCCAAAGACATAGGCTTTGGGGGCGTCGTTACCTTCCTCTCTCAAAAGTTGAACACTTTCTTGGAAACCAGAGCCCTAAACTCTTCCGAGACTCCTTTATATTAGCACTTTCAATTTCGTAACCCAAAGTGATGATAGTATGATTCACACAGCACGTGAGAAAAGCCGAGAGTGTTGTGTGGCACGGAGCTCCATAAAGACTCAATTATAGTTTCTTGGGGACACACACACACTTCCACTTTACTCTTTAGGATCTCTATTACAATCCCCACCCCACTCTAAATTTCTATCTAATATTTAACGCTAACCACTTTCAAACCCTACTTCTTACTAGAAAAAACAATCAATCTCAATTGTCTTGGTCCACTTTGTCACCACTTCTTTTGTTAAAGCAAACATATGAAATGGTGATTTGAGAAAACAGGTCCTTGTCGGAGCAAATTCCACCCACTAGCACCAAACAAATGGCAAAAGGACAGAGTCAGTTGTGTTGTTGAATATCTTAGAGTCTTTCTTACATTACCCTGTTTTTTTTTAAAAAGCTTATAAAAACACCTTTTGTCAACTCAAATTTCCGTTTGGTGTGTTCTTATTGGATCTTCTCTTGCTTCATTTGATTTATATTATATGATGTGAAACCTTTCTGTTCCACAAAATAATTATATGATACAGTTAGCTGTGTCACTACATGCTATTTTCTGAACAAGTCAAGTTAGTTCTGAGCTTTGTCCTATATTTTTCTGAATAAGTCAAGATGGTTCTGTTCTTGCGGGGATGTTCAAGCAAGTGCCCATATTATTAATAAAAGTATCCGTCGTTTATGCGAGACGAAGAAAATGTACACACATAGATAGTTCTGACATGGATGTGTTTTGACATTATTTACTCGCCAAAAGAAGAAGAAGAAATAGGCCACTAGCAATAAACAAATGTTAACGGTTGGAGGTGGATATGGTTCAAGTTATGTATTAAATAAAAGAAAAGTTTGAAATTTTCATAGAAAGAGAGAAAGTAGGCAGTAACTTGCAGGAATACAGAAGAATTCATCCGGTCCAATGGGGGAGAAGACAGAAGAGAGTTGAACAAACCGTTAATTGCCTTTAAAACTCTCCCAACACATTTAAATATGGCAGCAAAACCACCAACTGGGGGTTATTGACAGTTCCATTTAGAGTATTTTCAAACTCATCTCCACTTGTGTCTCTGTATTGAACTTGTATATATACTTGTTATTTTTCAAGGTGTACTCTCATTCTCCAAGTTTACAAGGACTTCTTCTCAGCATTTCAAGGTGTCAACTCTGGGCAAAACTAAAGAGTTAATGATCTGTTTTTGGAATAAATCAGATAAGAAGATAGACGAGATGATGGGTGCAGTTGGAGTCATTCTGGTGTTGTCTTCCTGTTGCTTGTCTTTGCTGGATGCACAACAGATCACTCATCCGCTTGATGGTACGGTCCTCTATATTTCTCAGTGATGAGTGTGAATGCTAAATTGCTAATGAGGTCTTTTTTTTTGCAGTTAGTGCTCTGCAGGCTGTTCGTCGCAAACTCAAGGACCCTATGTATCATCTTCAGGACTGGAAAAAGACGGATCCATGCGCCTCTAACTGGACCGGTGTCTTATGCGTCGCTGATCCTTCCGATGGCTTTCTTCATGTTAAAGAGTTGTACGGTCTCACTTTTACACTTTCTTCAATAGTTTTGGCCCTCCAGAACCAAATCTTTAGTTGTTTCTTGGTTTGATCAAATGATGCAGGCGATTGCTCAATATGAACCTCACCGGAACACTGGCTCCTGAACTCAGCCGTCTAGCAAATCTCACCATATTGTATGTCCTCTGATATTCAGAGCTCTGGTTTTGAAACCAACGTCTTCTTTAAATCTATATATATTACCTGACCACAGGAACTTTATGTGGAACGATCTCACCGGTCAGGTTCCGCCAGAAGTAGGCAACTTGACTCAACTTATCTTCTTGTAAGTAGCCTTTGATCATTGTTTCAGCAAGGCTTCAAGACCGCATCACTAAACAGCTGTCTGTATGTTGTTGTTTTTCTTTTCTTTTGCAGGCTACTAAGTGGAAATCAACTGACGGGGCCTTTGCCTCAAGAACTCGGCTCTCTTTCCAATCTATTAATCCTTCAGATAGATTACAATGACCTTAGCGGAGAACTCCCCACGTCCTTAGCAAATCTGAAAAAACTGAAGCACTTGTGAGATGATCTCCCTTCTCTCTTCCTTCTTCAAACAAACCCTTTTGACATCACTTGTACTTTCTTTGCCAGTCACATGAACAACAACTCAATCACGGGTCAGATTCCGCCTGAGTACTCTTCCTTATCCGACGTTCTGCACTTGTAAGTTTCTTGATTCCATATAAATTTGTTCATCTTATTAAAAATCTGATCGTCATGGCCTTGTTGTGTGGCTCAAATTTTGCAGCTTGATGGACAATAACAAGCTAACTGGATATCTTCCACCTGAGTTCTCTCAGATGGCAAGCTTGAAAATTATGCAAGTGCCTTTTTGTGTCTCCAACTTCTTATTAGAGAAGACTCACTTTCTTCCATATTCAACTTAATCTGCCTCTTCATTAATTTACAGACAACTGGACAATAACAACTTCGTTGGGACAGAGATCCCATCTTCCTACGGAAAGATACCCAATCTCGTCAAACTGTAAGAAGCACAAGATAGTAGAATAGTTTTTTGGCCTTTTCCTGTGGCGCACTGATTTTATTTGGTTACATCATAAATAGGAGTCTCAGAAACTGCAATTTACAAGGAGCAGTTCCTGATTTGAGCAGATCACCGGTTCTCTATTACTTGTGAGTCGTCACGTAAACAGGAAGAAACCATTAGCATTCCATGTTATGTTAGTCGCTAAGGCTTTTTCTCTGTTTTATTCTTCAGAGATCTTTCCTCCAACAAACTCACAGGAGAGATTCCCAAGAACAGGTTTTCTGGGAACATCACAACTATGTAAGCTACGTGCCAAACCAAGAAAATAAGAGATAGAATATGTCGTTACATTGTTATTGAAAATATGAACTGCACTTGTCTGCTGGATGCAGTAACCTGCACAACAATATGCTCAACGGATCTATTCCTTCAAATTTTTCAGGCCTTCCACGTTTGCAGAGACTGTAAGATCCAGTTTTTCTCTTCTTAATAATCTAAGAAGAAATGTTGTTTTAAGGAAGATAACAAAAGACAAGAGTGTTGTTTAAAAAAATATAATCAGGTCTCTGCAGAACAACAACTTAAGCGGAGAGATTCCTGTGATATGGGAGAAGAGAAGCTTTGCTGCAGAGGCGAAACTTACCCTGTAAGACACGGCATATTTACAAAAACACACGATGACGTTAATGGCTTTTTAACAGCAAGACTACTGATTATCTACTTTACCAAACACAAAAAAAAAAAAAAACTTGCAGGGACTTGAGGCACAACTTGTTTACAAATGTGTCAGGCCTTCTAAACCCTCCTTCCAATGTCACGGTCAAGTAAGATTATGTAAATGTGACGCACTAAAGAGGAGATGGGTTAATAATGTGGACAGAGAGAGAAATCAGAGTACTCTGTTTTTTTTTTTGTGATTTTTGATGAGCAGGCTTTACGGAAACCCAGTATGTGCAAGAGTTAATGAACCAAACATAGCTCAACTCTGTGGCGTCTCAACAGTAGAGGTGGAATCTCCAGGAAGTTCGTCGGAAAACTCGAGCAGGGGAGAATGCAAACGCCAGTCCTGCCCCTTGAGCGAAAACTACGACTACGTGATTGGCTCTCCAGTTCCATGTTTCTGCGCTGCGCCCCTTGGCGTTGGACTTCGTCTCAGGAGTCCAAGTTTCTCTGACTTCCGACCTTACACCGTCTCCTACTTGCTCGATGTGGCCTCCAAACTCGGGATAAGTCTCTATCAGCTGTCTATTGAATCATTCTCATGGCATTCCGGTCCAAGGCTAGCCATCAACATGAAGGTTTTCCCCGAGTACAGTGACTTGAACAGTAAATTCAACACCACGGAGCTTGAACGCATTGTTGACTTTTTTGCAACTTTCTCTCTGGATACCGATGATTCTCTTGGCCCCTACGAGATTATGTATATCAACCTCCTGGGTCCTTACAAAGACGGTATATATATATATATATATATATATATATATATATAGTCTGCTCGTAACTAAATTCTTGGTGTACCACAAGTAGGAGTAACTGTTTATATGGTGTTGACTGCTCCATGCAGTTACTCTCGAACAGCCGTATAACACCACGAGAATGAGCCAAGGCGTCAAAGTTGGTATCATTGTAGGAGCCATTGCTTTCTTCCTTGCATTATGCTCTCTAGCGCTGGTTCTCTTCATCAAGAGAAGAAAACAGAAGAGAAAAGCTAAGCAAGTGGACATGGAACAACAAAGGCCCAGTAAGTGAGAGTTAAGTAGCTACACTTGTTAGAAGCCGGTTTCTGTGAAAACGGCTAATGTATTATCTATCTTCTCCATGTTGTAAGTACCTAAATCTCCAATGAACATGGAGAGCGTGAAGGGTTACAATTTCATGGAACTTGATTCGGCAACAAGCAGGTTCAGTGATCTCTCCCAGATTGGCAGAGGAGGGTACGGGAAGGTGTACAGAGGGCATTTACCAGGTGGCCTGGTAGTGGCGGTGAAACGTGCAGAGAAAGGATCTCTGCAGGGCCAAAAGGAGTTCTACACGGAGATCGAGTTGCTCTCACGGCTACACCACCGAAACCTTGTTTCTTTGCTTGGCTACTGCGATGAGAAAGGAGAGCAGGTGATCAGTTTATTTTTTTGTGTGTTTATTTTGAAGGGTCTCTTGTGTAAGTGTAACGTCTCACTCAATGCTTAATTAATTACTATTTCAGATGGTGGTATATGAGTTCATGCCCAACGGGTCTCTTCAAGACGCACTCTCTGGTAAACCCTGGGTCTTGTTGTACGTTGTGAAATATCAGACTACATAATTGAATGTGAATAATGGATGTGCAGCGAGGTTCAGGCAGGCGCTGAGTTATGCGGTGAGGCTGAGAATAGCACTGGGGTCAGCGAGGGGGATTCTGTATCTGCATACAGAAGCGGACCCACCAATCATCCACCGAGACATCAAACCCAGCAACATTCTGCTAGACAAGAGGCTGAACCCTAAAGTGGCAGACTTTGGGATCTCAAAGCTCATAGCACTAGACGGGGGTGGGGTGCAAAGGGATCACGTAACTACCATCGTCAAAGGCACCCCTGTAAGTTGTTCGCTTACATGATCATGATCCCGTTGTTAAATTAGATGAAAGATATGCTTGTCTCAAGTTGTTATTACAAGACAGGGATACGTGGATCCAGAATACTACTTGAGCCACAGGCTGACAGAGAAGAGTGACGTGTACAGCCTGGGCATCGTGTTTCTGGAGATTCTCACAGGAATGCGCCCCATCTCACACGGGAGGAACATCGTCCGAGAGGTGAAGGAAGCGTGCGAGGCCGGGATGATGCTGTCGGTGATAGACCGGAGCATGGGGGAGTACTCGGAGGGGTGCGTCAAGAGATTCATGGAACTGGCCATCAGGTGCTGCCTGGATGACCCAGAAGCGCGTCCGAGGATGCTGGAGATCGTGAGGGAGCTGGAGAACCTGTACGGGATGCTTCCGCAACAAGAGAAGCCATATGCAAGCCCTTCCGTGCAATCCTCTGCTTCTGGGATCTCGGGGCTTGCCTCTTATACTAATACCTTCTCACAGTTCACAGCTAACGAGCTCGTCAGTGGTGTCATTCCCTCCATCGCACCCCGCTAAATCTTTTCATTATTATTGCACTTTGTTCTGGAACGAGTTTGTGCCTTTTTTTTTCCTTTCTTTATCATCTTTGATGCCTCTCTGTTATAATCATTGCCTTCAACACGTTATTCAAAAAAAGGAGTTGACTTGTTAATATATGAGCCGAGAAATGGACCCACAACCACAAGACCGCGACTTTGGGTTTTCACTCCCTCGAGAATCGATCGGATAAAATGGGGTTCTTAATTTGTCAAACACGAGGCACGATTGTGCTTCTGGAGCAGGTAGAGTCAACCCAGTTACGAAATTTTACCACTCGGGTGAAAAAAGGTTTAAGCTTTTCGGATATTCTAATGGGCGACAAGTCGGCGTCTTTCTTCCACCATCGCTGTGCAGAAAAATCAAACCAAGAACCCACACGATGGTCTTCTAATCTTCCCTCTCTCTCGACTTTGATTTGATCTGCATTTGTTGCCTCCATTTTTTGACTTCTCCCCGCTTTCCAGGGCTTCTTCTGTTTCTCTCGGATTCTTATCCACTTGCCCTCTAGGAAAATTCTCATGGCTGATCTAAGAAGCTCCTGATCTAACTCTAGAGTGAGGTAATGATCTTGGCTTAGAGCTAATGAATGCGTCGCGTTGAATTTTAGCTGCTGTGTCTTTTTCTGTCATAACTACGAGCACCTTGTGCTGTTGGATTGATTATCAGGTCTTAAATTGGACCCATATGCTGAATTATTGATATAATCGCTCATGGGATTTCTGTCTGACTTTGTTGTACATAATTTTCATTTATATCTCTAATTATCTGTTTCTTACGCAGTTACCTTCTCAAACGCATCATGGTGTTTCCTCACAGAGTATATCTCCATGCGCTCCTTGGTGCGTGTTGTTGCGTGGTTCTTCTAGCCGATTCACAGCGAACAGACCCTTCAGAAGGTGACTGCAGCTTACAAAATCTGCTCTTGTTTTGTGAGAACATTACTGCTTCCAACCAATTTTATGTCTAGTTGTCTTGTTCTCTTACGTGATTGTCAACTCTGTTTCCCATTTGCAGTCACTGCTTTACGATCGGTTAAGAGAAGTTTAATTGATCCTAAAGATAATTTGAGAAACTGGAACAGAGGAGACCCTTGCAGAGCAAATTGGACCGGAGTTATCTGTTATGAGATTGGGACTGACGAATACCTGCATGTCCGAGAACTGTATGTTTTCCTTTTTGGTTCTTTTAACTTTATTTTTCTTCCTATGTTCGTCTTCTTGCTTCTGGAGTAAGCAGGCTTAGCTTGGGAGAAGCTGGTTCAGTTGTCTCTGTCTTCTTATAATTCCCTGATCCTTTCTTTTGTTGCCAAGCAGCCTGCTGATGAATATGAATCTCTCCGGAAGTTTGTCACCAGAACTCCGTAAATTTGTTCATCTCGAAATATTGTAAGTTTCAATATGTAAAGCTTTGCAAAGTGTGAACGCCCAATTTCTTCTGAATGTGAAATCTTTCTATCATGCTGCCTCTATGAAGAGATTTCATGTGGAACAATTTAAGTGGTTCAATTCCCAAGGAGATAGGACAGATATCATCCCTGGTACTATTGTAAGTTGGACCTACCTGATAATTACTCATTTCTCTGGCTGGAACCTTTTTGATAAGCATGTGTGTTCTCCTTGTTTATCTTCTGATCCTGTAACCTGTGGTCAGGCTGCTGAATGGAAACAAACTTTCAGGGCCTTTACCAAGCGAACTCGGCTATCTTTCCAACTTGAACAGGTTCCAGATAGATGAGAATAACATCACAGGACCAATACCAAAGTCATTTTCCTACTTGCAAAAAGTGAAACATCTGTGAGTCTCAACATCAAGGCAGACAGTGATATCAACCTCAGACGCGGGTTTTTCAGTATCAACTCACAGATTTTGCTTTGGGCTTTTGTACAGTCACTTTAACAATAATTCGTTGAGCGGCCAGATCCCAATGGAGCTTTCCAATCTTACAAACATCTTTCACGTGTGAGTCTTTGCCTTAATGCTGTCACTCTTTCATGATTTGGGACATCATGATGGTTTAATGTGGTCAAACTAAATTTACAGGCTGCTAGACAACAACAACTTATCCGGAAACCTCCCACCACAACTGTCTGCATTGCCAAACCTGCAAATCCTGTATGTTTCTCTATTGTGTGTTTTGCCTCATTCTACAAGTATTTGTTAGATTCATGGTTACTGTCCTCTCACTGCAGGCAACTGGATAATAACAACTTCAGTGGATCAGATATCCCAGCTTCCTATGGAAACTTTTCGAGTATACTGAAGCTGTTAGTTTCGGGCCACGCTGTTATCTCAAGTCCTTTTTTTTTTTCATTTCAGAGATATCATAAAGAGTTCATTATGTTGTTTTGTCTTCTTTCCACTTGCAGGAGTCTTAGAAACTGTAGTTTGAAAGGAGCTCTTCCGGATTTTAGCAGGATACGTCGTCTCAAATACTTGTGAGTTCTGATCAATCTCAATGCATGGATTCTCTTTCCCATGTTGTGAATGTGGTTTGTGCTTCTTGTTCGCTACAGGGATCTTAGCTGGAATGAGCTCACAGGGCCTATACCTTCTACTAATCTTTCTAAGGATGTGACAACCATGTATGCTTTATACAATTGTTAATTCTGTTTTCTTTCTTTTCTTACTTGTGTTTACACGTATACCTTGTTGCTTTGAGTTTCACACTGGTTTAATTGCAGTAATTTATCGAACAACAAACTTAATGGATCCATTCCGCAGAGCTTCTCTGATCTCCCTATGCTTCAGATGCTGTGAGAAATTATGTTTCTTTATATCCAAAGTGAAGCAATGTGGACTTGGCATATAAAATAAAGAGTCATATTCTGCAGATTGCTGAGGAACAATGTGCTATCTGGATCTGTCCCTGATTCCCTCTGGCGGAATATCTCACTACTGAAGAAAGCTAGAGTTCTACTGTAAAATCCTTGTTTCTCTCCTTCACTTAGAGTCAGTTGCAGTTAATGAACTTGTCTAATATTCCCTGTTTTCTCCCAATTCCTACAGTGATCTCAGGAATAATACTCTGTCACATGCTCAAGGAGATCTAACTCCTCCAGAAAATGTCACTTTAAGGTGCCCCATAGTCGTATCTGTATCTTGGTGTTGATGTTGTGTCTTGAATGCTTATTACGGGAAGGTGAATGAATCTCCAGGCTTGATGGTAATCCGATATGCAAGAACGCAAGTATATCAAACGCAGGGCTCTTGTGTGAATCCATAGGAAAGGAGTGGACATCACTACCAACCAACTCAACGAATTCTGCGCTGGACTGCCCTCCTCTAGCCTGTCCCACTCCCGACGCGTACGAATACAGCCCTGCATCCCCGTTACGATGCTTCTGTGCAGCGCCTCTCAGGATTGGATACCGTCTGAAAAGTCCAAGTTTCTCATACTTCCCTCCATATGTTGATCAATTCGGCGAGTATGTTACCGATTTTCTACAAATGGAACCATATCAACTCTGGATCGACTCGTATCAATGGGAGAAAGGGCCTCGTCTGAGGATGTATCTGAAGCTTTTTCCCAAAGTTAATGAAACCCATACGAGAACATTTAACACGAGTGAAGTTGTCAGAATCCGAGGCATATTCGCATCATGGAGATTTCCCGGTAGTCACCTGTTCGGCCCATATGAGCTGCTCAACTTCACCCTGCAGGGCCCTTATTCATATGGTGCGCCTCTTTTCCCTAATAAGGCGTTTTCTACACAAGCAGGTCTAGATTGACCTCTCTGTCTTCTTTTATCTCCTCAGTTAACTTCAACAGTGAAAGGAAAGGCGTCGGCTGGGGACGTTTGGCAGCAATAACTGCCGGGGCTGTGGTGACTGCTGTTGCCATCTCCGCCATCGTTGCGGCCTTGTTGCTTAGAAGATACAGCAAGCACGAGCGTGAGATATCTAGAAGACGGTCGTGTACGTGTGACCGATTCCCAATCTATCCCACTGAGATATAGAACCATGTTTAACTGAATCTCTTGTGTTTGTCAGCCTCCAAGGCTTCCTTGGTGAATTCCGGGATACGAGGCTTCAGTTTTAAAGAAGTAGCAGAGGCCACGGACGATTTTAGCAGCTCGGCTTTGGTTGGACGCGGAGGCTATGGAAAGGTTTACAGAGGTGTGTTATCTGACAAAACGGTTGCGGCGATAAAGCGAGCCGACGAAGGGTCTTTGCAAGGTGAGAAGGAGTTCTTGAATGAAATAGAGTTGCTCTCGAGGTTGCATCATCGGAATCTGGTGTCACTAATCGGTTATTGTGACGAAGAAGGGGAGCAGGTACTGTGCTGCTGCCAAGTAAACCCTCAGTGAGTTATGTTTAATTGCTTATGAAGTTGCTGAATGCGCAGATGCTGGTGTACGAATTCATGCCCAATGGCACCCTGCGCGACTGGTTGTCTGGTGAGATTCCACGTGGGTGTTTTTGGGATGTGTGCCATTTAGTTTTCTCATGACATATGTGGTGGTGGTGCAGCTAAAGGGAAGGAGACATTGAGCTTTGGCATGAGGGTTCGTGTTGCGTTGGGAGCAGCCAGGGGTATTCTCTACCTTCACACAGAAGCCAACCCGCCAGTGTTCCACCGAGACATCAAAGCCAGTAACATCCTCCTCGACCCCAACTTCAATGCCAAAGTTGCAGACTTTGGACTGTCCCGTCTTGCTCCTGCTTTGGAGGACGAAGAGGATGTGCCCAAACACGTATCCACGGTTGTTCGTGGGACTCCGGTGAGTGATCAAAAATGAATGATGGTTGGCACAAGAGATGCGTTTTGCTTAGTTTTCGAATGTTGCAGGGGTACCTGGATCCAGAGTACTTCCTGACACACAAGCTGACGGACAAGAGCGACGTGTACAGCATCGGAGTTGTGTTCTTGGAGCTGCTGACTGGTATGCACGCCATTTCCCATGGCAAAAACATCGTGCGAGAGGTGAAGACGGCGGATGAGAGGGATATGATGGTGTCCCTGATAGACAAGAGAATGGAGCCTTGGTCCATGGAAAGCGCCCGAAAGTTTGCTTCTTTGGCACTGAGGTGTAGCCACGACTCACCGGATATGAGGCCGGCCATGGCTGAGGTGGTGAAAGAGCTGGAGGCACTTCTCCATGCCATCCCCGGCATGGAAGGAAGCGAAACCACGTCTGCCTCGTCGGTGCTCTCTACATCATCCTCCAATGTGACGAGAGACCTTTACGAGTCGGCCAGCCTTTTAGGAAGCGATCTCAGCAGCGGCGTTGTTCCCAGCATCGCTCCTCGCTAACTCCAACCAAAACCATCCTTCTTCCTCTGTACAAACTCCAACCAAAACCATCCTTCTTCCTCTGTACAAACTCCACTCACTTACTTGTTAACCAATTTCTTGCTTTCTTCCCACTGTAATATATTGGGCCCTCTTAAAATCATATTGTCTGTAGTAATGTTTTGATTCTATATAACAACAACAAAAAAATAGCTTGTCTAAAGGCCCAATACGGGCCCAATTTCAAACCTCGCGTCGTTTCAGTTGTCCTCCCATGGATCGATCATCGCTGGAATGAATCGGCGACGATGGAGTTACAGCAAGAGCAAGCTTGTTGGAAACTTGAACTCGGCGAGGTTTTAGATAATGATTCCTCATGGGTATGCTGAAACTAGTTCACCCCTTATATGATTTGTCTCCGGCCCCGGGATCTGCTTTGCTGAAGCTTATGCTGATGTAGGTCACCAAATTTGATGCCTCCAAAACGAAGAAGAAGAAGAAGAAGAAGAAGAAGCCTTTAATACGCGAAGACGGTGCCATAACAGAGGATACCGCACCACACTGTCAATCTGGGAGTCGGTTCCTTCCCGGCCACAACTTTGAGCCAGGTTATGGCTATCAAGAGGTACCCTTTGCTGAGATTAATAATGCTATTTGGTACTGAACCATTGCCTAGTTTAATCATGACCCGAGCTTCTCTATGCTCTGCAGCTCTTGAGTCGGGTGTTTGATATGCTTCGTGAGGACGATCTCGAGGTTTCTGCAGAGAGGCCAAGAACAGATATGATGCCTCCCCGGCTCCTTGAACAGGGGACACAGATCACAGTTTGTCTAAACTTCGCTCATCTCTGCAGAACGTACAACTTGTTTTGTTTCCTAGTTGATCTATCTCCAGTTGTGAGCTTACTAGCTGTTGTGCTGCGTATCACTTTTAAAGATAAGTTTTTTTCCAGGATGCATAGGAATCCAGGTCAGGTTATGAAATTCTTACTTGGCCAAATGGAGACAAAGGCATCGCTCAACAAACAGCAGCAGCTAGAGATGAAGGGTTTAGTCTCTTCTCAGGATTTCCAAGCTGCGTTCCGGAGATATATTGGTCAGCTCCATAGCTAGTTTCCGTTGTTCCATCTTCTTTTTTTGTCAGTGCGAGTGTCTTTTCTGATCAGATATCTATATACATCGTGTCTTAGATGCGTTCGTAATCTGCAGCTGCTGCAAAAGTCCTGACACAGCTCTCGCGGAGGACAATGGTCTTTTCACTCTCAGATGTGAGATGGTAAGTAGAATATTAAACTCGGCGAGTATGTAATTGCTGCGTCCAGATCAGGGGAAAGACGAGGAGATAAATATACTCATCTCATTTGGTTCTGTTCTCTTGCAGTGTGGTTTAGTAGCATCGATCAAAGACCCAAATCCCCTGGTTCTTTGAGCTGGGAAAGGCTCCATTGTAAGATTTATTATAGTTGTTTCTCCTGGTTTTGATAGTCCCTTGTACAATCTTGAACCACAAGATGTTTTCTTTACAATTCTGATTAAACTTTGTGAGTGTATTCCTAATACAACTTGTTTCAAAGCTTAAAGTTGCTGAGAAAGCGCTAACCGATGCAAATTGGCAACAATAAGAAAAGTAACGTTTCTTTTATATGCACGTAATGTAAGTAATGCAAACGCATGAATAAGCCCTATCTCGACTGAGATGTCAGTCACGCCAAACAGCATTTGCTTTATGATCACATTGTGAAATTTCGTGCGCAACCAGAAATGGAGGACAAGTGTATTTGCCCCCTTTTATCCTCGGCAGAAGCTTCGTGGACATGATCATCTTGTTTGTGAAGAGACCTTAAAAGATGAGTTTGACATGACAACTAACTCAACTGTGGAGAAGTGGTTGCTCTTCGAATCTTAGCTTGGCAGTGACACGTTACTTTGGAGTTGTCTCACATGATTGATTCCTAGGAGCGATGTGCTTCAAGTTTCATCTCTCTGGTTTTGGATTTGGAACAAGGGACGTGTCTCTTGCCTTGTAAGTTAAAGTTTTGGATTTTAATAATCGAGTCCATGTTTTATTGGTGGTATGAATCAGAATATATACATAAACATGTAATCAGGAGAAGATGAAACTCTTCTCATCCATAAACCCGCGAAAATGAAGGACCGTCTTGGATTCAGATTCGTGCTCTGCTCTGCGGTTTTCATGATGCTAACACAACAGAGAGCCCTTGCAGATGGGTACACTAATACTAATGATTCATCTGGGAATTGTATATACAGGAAAGAATGACAGATTGAGACTGTGGTTTGCAGGGTTAACTCAGAATCAGTAGACGAAGGAGAATGGGAGATGGTGCAGAGGAAAGGGATGCAATTCACCCTAAATGGGCAACCATTCTACGTGAATGGCTTCAACACATACTGGATGATGACTCTTGCAGCTGATAATTCCACGAGAGGCAAAGTGACGGACGTGTTCCAACAAGCCTCTGCAGTTGGATTGACGGTAGGCAGGACATGGGCTTTCAACGACGGCCAGTGGAGAGCTCTCCAGAAATCTCCTTCTGTTTACGATGAAGATGTCTTCGAGGTATGAATCAATCAGCTTCTTCCTTTTTTAGGACTCTCTTGTGTTTAAAAGGTTCTGAGCAACCCGGCAGGCCCTGGACTTCGTGGTGAGCGAGGCCAGAAAGTACAAGATCAGACTTATACTGTCGTTGGTCAACAACTGGAACGACTACGGCGGCAAAGCTCAGTACGTTAAATGGGGAAACGCGGCCGGCCTTAATCTCACCTCTGATGACGACTTCTTCACCAACCCCACCCTAAGAGACTTTTACAAATCCCATGTCCGGGTGATTACTCCATCCATCTCTTGCGAAATTTTATTGCTTATTTATGTAAGAGGAAAAAAATTGCAACTTGAATGTGGTGCCTCTGCAGACGGTGCTGAATAGAGTGAACACCTTCACAAACATCACTTACAAGAAGGACCCCACAATCTTCGCCTGGGAGCTCATGAATGAGCCACGGTGCCCCTCTGATCCCTCAGGCGACAAACTCCAGTCTTGGATACAAGAAATGGCGGTGTTCGTGAAGAGCTTAGACGCTAAACATTTGGTGGAGGTCGGACTTGAAGGCTTCTACGGTGCCTCTGCCCCAGCGCGAACCAAATTCAATCCCAACCCCTACGCTGCACAAGTCGGAACCGACTTCATCAGAAACAATCAGGTTCTTGGCGTGGATTTTGCAACGGTTCACGTGTATCCAGATTCCTGGTAAGTGCTTTTTTGATGCAAAAGAGCAGGAAACAAAACGGAGACTGCCGCTTGCCCTGAATAATGAAATGCAAACAAAAAATGTAGGATATCTCGGGAGGTATCAGAATCATTCCTGGAATTCACGAGCTCGTGGATGCAGGCTCATGTGGAGGACGCAGAGATGTCCTTGGGAATGCCGGTTCTGTTCACAGAGTTTGGTGTGTCGGCGCGTGACCCTGGTTTCAACACGTCTTTCCGTGACATGATGTTGGAGACGGTGTACAAGATGACACTAAACTCAACAAGGAAAGGAGGGGCTGGTGCGGGGAGTCTGGTGTGGCAGGTCTCCCCTCAGGGAGCAGAGTTCATGGACGACGGCTACGCGGTTTACCTCACAAGAGCTCACACCGCTTCAAAAATCATCTCTCTGCAGTCCAAGCGACTCGCCATGTTCAACTCTTTGTGTGGCTGGAGATGCAAGTGGGGGTGCAAGAAAAAGAATCCCACTGCTCTCGATGCCCTCCTCGAGCTTTGAGTAACAATTGAATCACACAAATGTTATCGGTTGTTTGTTTAATTTTTATATATATATATGTATGTGTGTAAATTGAGATGAGTGAACTCTTGTTACCCGCAAAAAACACTTGGGCTGCTTTGATATACATGCAATAGGATGAAACTGAGCAAGCTAATTTCTTGATGAAACTCGCATGAAATTTGGACCGTTTAAAGAAATAGAGAGTTAGCCGGAGAGGGAGACGCGTCACCAGTGGCCCCTTTTCCCTTATAAGACGTTAGAGCACGTGTCCGTGTTTGATTGGTCCACGATATTCCCTCGAAAATTCAGTAAATAAACCAATGGCCCATGCAGCAGGTGGTTCGTTAATGGGCCACTTGATAAAATTACCTCAAAACTCAAGAAGCCAAGTCCAAAAAAAAATATTGAAAATAAAATAAGTTACCCAGGTTAAACGGTGAAGATTCACACAGGGCAAAAACAATGATTATTTTGACTAACATTTTTATGACCCACACACATCGTGTGAATACAGTATACACAAGAGTGTTTATACGGTGATAATAGAATCACGTTATTTTCTGGCGCAATACAATAATATTGCTTCAATTAATTTAAGAGAGGCTATCTCCATTTCATCAAGCTCTTGAATACATATGGTAGATTAACTAATTTCCAATTATAAAATATGAGAAGAGCAAATAATAAGGCGACAATTGCACACGGAAAGAGACGGGAGAAGCAATACGACAAAAAGAGAAAAGAGAAAAGTAGCCGTTAAGCGCGGAAGCCGATTCAAATTCAAAAAGAAAAGCATAAATCTAATCTGCTCGCAATGATGTGGCAGCAAACAAAGAAAATGAAATCGTCGGGTCGAAAGGCTCTCCAGCCCAGAAACATCTTCCTTGCTCCGGCAGCAGATCGGCAGAAGAAGCCCAAAGCTCCTCCTCGTGATGACGATGATGATGAGCTGCTTTCTTCCAAGGAGAACCTTCTTCTTCCCGTTCCCGTTCCCGTTCCCGTCCCGGTTGTTGAATCGATGGACGCTTCGCTTGCGGAGGAGCTGAGCGCCTTCAAGAAGAAGCTGGAGAGGTTGAGGGAGGATCGGGAGAGGACTGAGAAACTGCTCGAGGAGAGAGACAGGGCCGTGGATCTGCAGATGAAGCATCTCCTCGAGAGAGCAGAGATGCAGAAAATACTTGAAATCCAGGTCGACCGCCTCTTCAGACTGAAGGAGCTCAACGCCGTAAGCATCCCATTCAATCTCCTTTGTTTCCATTTTTTCAATCAAACATTTATTTACTCTGTGTTTTTTTTTTAATTGCCGATTCAGAAAATTTCGCCGATCCGATCTCTGAGAGCGAAAGAGCAGGAGAAGAGGAAACGCTTCAGCTTCAGCTTCAGCTCCGTAATGCCTTGCCCACACTACCTCTCAGATTCTCCTCCCGTCTTTTCCATCTAAAATCCCTTTTTTCGTTTCAGGAACCAGTGGCAGCTGCTGATGCTGAGCAACCGGAACAAGAATCCTCCGTCCAGACCGAGACTGAGTAAATGATGAGGCAAACGCCTTTTGATTCTTGTAATGCCTCGTTACTCAATGGGCTTTTCTGTTGGGCCCTCTCTTCCCAGGCCCATCTTTTGCTCTACAAAAAAAAAAAAAAACATTTCTTCTAGTCTTCCACAAATCACAATGCATTTAATTGATTCACTACTACTAGTCTACTACTACCGTAGAGAGAGATCGCATATTTATATTTCCAGTTGGTTTTACTTTTATATTGTTATTCTAAATTAGGGAGTCTAGTTTGTTTGAGCCTTACTTACGTTACCCCAAACATTCAAGGCCATCTTATCTATCAGCTACCAGCATTTTTAAGTTTTTCATTTTTCCAGCAAATTTATTTAGTACCCCCCACCCAACAAATTATTTAAACTGCAACAATATATGAAATCAAAATATGCCCAAACAGTGAAAAGCATGGGGTCCCGCGTTCATATGTGTTTTAATAGTAACATAAAACAATCAATCAATGTTGACATCGCCTCTATTAAGTATTAATTAGGTGGCTGATCATTCACTTTAAATAAAAATCAATTTAAATTGCTAAAAGTAAGAAGATCTAACCCCCAAATTGGATACAATAGACGACAGAAACACACCTCACCCACACCATCCTTTATTAATCTAATCCAAAAGAACGTGATTAAATCCAACTTCTGTAGTCCCATTCTAATCCCATGTCAGGCAAATTTAATGAGGCATTAAGTACCCAACTTGTTATTTACAGTAAAACCTCTATAAATTAATACTCGATAAATTAATAATCACTATAAATTAATAATTTTTATCGGTTTCACGTTGGGTCAGTGTAAAAATTGACAAAATTCGATAAGATAATAAGATATTATTTTTTTTGAAAGTTTTATGTAAAAATATGGTCTCAATAATAATATAAATTAATAATTATACATTTAGATATATATTAATAATAGAATATAATAAACTATAAATAATATTATTTTTTCAAGTTTATAAAATTTGTTTGATTTGTCTTCTAAATTCATTATTATTACATTTCTGAATAAATTTTACATTATTAAAAATATTAATTTTATTTTTTATGATGAATATTAAAAATTTAAACTAAAAATATCTCTATAAATTAATATTTTATTAATTTGTTAATAAATTAATAATTATTAATTTATCGATTAATTAATAACTCTATAAATTAATAAAATTTGAGAGTCCCAACATTATTAATTTATAGAGATTTTACTGTAACTAATGATTTTAATTAACGTTGTGACTATTTAACTTACTAATTATTAATAAGTGACATTTTGTATTTTAATTTAAAACGTTAACTAACATTTACAATTTTTTATTTTTTGAAAAAAAAACATTTACAATTTACTGTTGAGTGTTGACTAACAACCAAAAAACTCTCTTACGTACTCTTCTTTCTTTCTTTTTTTTTGTTCAGCCAACTCTTCTTTCTATTGGACTTCAAAAATGATATATATACTCTATTCTCTGCGAATCAAGGTCCAAGCATAATCCCAACACAATGAACATCAGGATTTGAGGGAGCATGTTAACCCAGCAATTATCTACTAAGAAATGTCCATCATTAAAATGGGGGAACGACCAAGTTTAGGAGGTCCTAAATGTTTATTGAAAAACAATCAGGTTCTCGTAATAAAACAGAATGATTAATTTATTTAACTTTTAAAAAAAAGTTAATAAGAATTTGTGATAGATGATGATAAGTCATAGGAAAGTCGCAACCTATAATATGGCCAGCCGCCGATATTGAATCAAAAGAAAAGGTAGTTATGATTTATGTAGTTAAATCAAGAGTAGTTTTTAATTTTCTAATTTAAGTGTTGTTTATAAAGGAAGAAAATGAAAAAAAAAAAAAAAAAAAAAGTTGAAGCTAAAGTATTACGTAATGGATCCAGACATTTATAAGAAAGGAAGATAAAGTTGAAATCCAAAGAAAGCACATGCGGACTTTGGCTTATTTTATAGACAAAAATAGCTTTTGGCAGCAGTTGATCTGATCTCCATTGTTGGGTGATGAGATTAGGTTAGGGTTAATGCATTATAATGATCTGTCATGCATATAATTAAACCTTCCATGTCCATGACGTACGTTAGGATGATGTCACGAAGCCTACGTCACTTTTCATTGGCTCCTCCGTTTTCTACGCCCGTTTATTCGGCCTTCCATCTTCTCAGGTGCCGTGCCACGTGACTTTTGTTTGGAGAGATTTCTTAACAACTAAAACTCTCGCCCATGTTGTGATAATGAACTCAAATACTGTATTATCAACAAAAATACTTCTTGTTAATTATCGTGAAAAAAAAATAATCAAATTATATTATAGAATAATACAAGCACTTTTGCTGTTAAAACAGAACAATAAACTCCAAATATTTGTAAGGGATAACTCCTGATCTCATCGTATGGTCCCTTAAAAGAGAAGAAGATAAAGAAATGTTCAAAAAAAAAAAAAGAGAAGAAGATGCAGTGAAATAAGTTCTAGGGGTCAAAACCAATAAAAAAAAAATGATTCTTAGAGCATGTCCATCGGTAGAGAGATGTTTTTGAGTATCTAAGATATATAAAAATAATATAATTTATTTATATAATTAAATTTTAACTAAGAAAAAAAGTAAACCAATAATTAGTTTACATATGTTAAAATTGTGTTAAGATACGTATGTAAAAATGTCTATATAAGGGACGTATCTCTTCTCTTTTCACTTTCTTTTCTTTTTTTATAATTTTTTTTTGGTAGATACGGTCTTAAAGATGCCGATGGAGATAGTCTTAAATATTCTGTTAACACTAACATAGTTGCTCTTCTAGTTTAGTTTATCATTAATAGAGCTGTTGGTTAGTTAAGTCAACTAGTAATACACATACTCGTTGTTTTTGTCTTAATATCGTGGGGTTATCTTAATTAAGGGGGCCACTCAATTATATAATCCGCACATTCCCGAATTCGAAATGCGTAAGATGATAGTATATTATATCCATAAGTTAATGAAACGAAGGAGTGTATGGTAAATGAACACATATATAGGAAACTTCCTAACAAGAACCTCATCAATATACTATAAGAGGCCTTGATCCCATCAAACACAGAGAGAAAACTTGTCAAAGCTAGTTGTAGTCACAAATCATCAAAAAAGAAGAAGGATGAAGTCTTGCCAACAAAAGGCGATGGAGACGCTGCTTCAGGGCCATGGGTGTGCCAACCAGCTAAAGCTCATCATGGACCACGCCGAGTCAGACTCGTCCATGGAAAGGGAGGATCTGGCCAAGTCCGTCCTCCATTGTTTCTCGGATGCGCTCTCCATTTTGATCGATACTAGTGATCACAATCACCGCCAAGACGAACAATCCAATAACTCATCTCCGCAAGACTCTTCTCTTGTTCGTGACGAGAGCGGCAGGAAGTCGTCGCTTCACAAGAGGGGAAGGTACACATAAATCTCACTTTAATTAACTGAAATGATAATGAATGATGCTCATCGTGATCATAAGCCTTTGGTGGTTGCAGAAAGACAGCAATGGCAGAGAGCTCAGACTACCGCAGACACGAAGCCCCAAACCCGATCTACCACGACGGCTTTCTCTGGAGGAAATACGGACAAAAGCAGATCAAAGAATCGGACCACCAAAGGTATAGCATCCACACTCTCGCATACATATGTATATATACTTGGGTGGTTTTCATAAATGTTACTTAAAAAAAGGAGAGAATGATGAAAATGACAGGAGTTACTACAAATGTGCGTACACCAAGGACCAGAACTGTGAAGCAAAGAAGCAGGTTCAAATGATCCAACACAACCCTCCATTGTACTCAACCACTTACTTCGGCCACCACACATGCCAGCTTCATCAAGCCTATGCAACTTTCCCCCTTGACACCTCGGATCCCCAAGATTCCTCCCACATGATCCGATTTGACCACCCAAACTCCTCAAACCATCAACATCAGGATCCAAATCAGATTCATCCCAAAGATGAAGAATACACCATGTCACCTGAGAAAGCGGAAGACTGGTCTCCATCTCAGTGGATGTCCTCCGAGGTTGCCCACGCCGTGGAGGCCTTCGGCTTTAACCCTTTTAGTGACTTATCATGACTATACATCCTTCCCCTCACTACCATATATATGTGTAGCTTCTTTAATTATCATATAGTATCCTCGTATTACTTTTTTTGCGTTATACATCTTTATCTACTTGAGCTTTTGTTTTGAGTTAATATTAACCAGCCTTTAATCATTTATACATGAATGAGTGTTGGATTGTTGCCAAGTTTTCTTTTCGTTTTTTGTTATAATACCCTTTAACCATCACGGGGCAATTAAAGGCGACTTGGTGGATATATTCTATATTGAAGAGTTAGTACGTACCCTATTGTTGGGTTCCACAGAAACATTCAATTTAAATTTGTTCGAGCCATGATTTATTCGGACCACTACTGTTTTCAGTCGCCGGAGTTCTGCCACACCACCGTTGCTACAAATTTAAGAAATCCCACCATATATAAAACTTGCTAAAGTTTGTGTTGGATCGGAGCACTTTTTTTTTTTTTGAGCTATTTTCCATTCGCTTAACAAAATGTTTTTCGTCACGTCAGGGATATTGATTTACTGACGGTTTTATAAAATGAAAAATAAAGTTTTATATATCTATCTTATTATTACTCTGCATAGATAAATAAATAAATAAATCCTTTCTGAGACCGGTCTATGCGAAACCGATCAATCGTACAAATTCTAACACGAGGGTCAAAAAGTGGTGAGACAGTAAATTGTTGGTCAGGTCAATAAACTTGCCACTGAAGCAGATCGGAAAGACAAAGAGACCTTTCTTGACCCTTGTGCCCTAAGTACCCACTAACTAGATTATTCACATTAATCGTATATCTAATCAGAAGAAAAGCAAACTATCTAGCTCATTCAATTTTGATAACTAGTTATCTCTCTTGTTGGGTTAGGGGACTTTTCTATCGACTAATTAAGTAATTACGAAGGTTCTTTAGTTAGAACCTATTACCTATCATTTCATGAGCCAAGAATATAGTTATCCTTTAATGTGTATGCTTTCAGAAAGAAAAAAAATCAAAGATCGATAATGCATCTTATTTGTTTTATTCATATATAACGATTAACGTAACATTTCATGGTCCCCCTTTGTTTTCATTAACTGTGAGCCTGTGAGCTTACATCATATGATGCACTAGAAAAACGCATAATTAAGATTATCCTAATCAACAAATACCCAACCCGTAGATAGATGCTGTTAGAAAACAATGATAAGATGACGAATACTGTTTGGTACATTAATCATTGAAGCTGTATGCATGATTCATGGCACAATTAATTTTGAAGTATATACTTGTCATGGATTTTATAATAGAACTAGGTAGGAGGGATTAGTCAGATAAACGGACACGAACCTAAATGATTCTTAATTAAAAATATCCATCGGAGATTCTTTTTCCGTGCATCGGTATGCCCAACATCATGTGTATGCAGGCATGTCAATATGTGGACATGTTTGTATAAAAGGACATGTACCTATAAACTTATCATATATATAGTACTTAAGAAAACATGAAACTCATCATGAGCTCTGATACTACAGATAGTCTAGGGTTGAATTTCTTGTTATAAACGTGTAAGGCATTTTCTACACTTTCATATTAACTGGGTAATTAAGTGTATGTTTAATGTAAACTTCCTAAACAATATTTAAATTTAGATGTATAAATATATTACTCAAAAGATGAGTCCAAAAGCTTAGGTTAACAAGATGCGAGAGGGAAAGCAACGTCCGTGTGGAAAAATCAAAGTCGCTGTCTTGATTGAATTGATGGGTTGGTTAAGTATAAACACACTGCAAAATGCACACTTTTCTAGTCAAAATCGTCACCACTTTCTTCCGTACTTCTTCGGTCAGCGGAGCCTATGATCTCTTAGATTGACCTCCTAATTTACCATTCTACTTATACTTTGAATTCAAACGCAATATTATTTCATATTACCAAAATGCAACATGATAAAATTCAAACTAGATAATATGATCCATCCCCATCGTTCTTTTAGTGAAACAACGATATTCAAACTATTATAATTTCCAGGAAACATGGGGAACAACAAAGGTATTAAGTAGGACTTGGCAAATTATCCGTTATATTTAATTCGATCTGCTATTTGCTTCGATTCGATTTGAAAAATCTGGATATCCGTAGCTTTACGAAGTAAAGCAAATACTAAATTTTGATATCCGTTAAAAACAGAGCAAATCACAAATATTAAAATTCTAAGAGCCAGATATCTGATCCGCTCCGATATACATATATATATGTATATATATAAATAATTACATATATAATATATAGTTAATATAATTATATGTAAAATTTTGTGAATTTATATTTATTTTATCAGTTATTTTAATACGAAATTTTAATAAATTTTAATAAGAACAATTTAAAATTTAATATATGAGTTAATTTTTGATTTTTTAATTATTTTTATAAATAATTTTATTTATTTTATAAATATTTTAATTATTTTATAATTAATCTAATATTTTTGAAACGGATCGGATATCTGGTCAAAAATCTGGATTTTAACGGATATCCGAATATCGGATATCTAATTAGTAACGGAGCAAATACGGATCAAAAAATTGTTGATCCGTACGGGGCGGAGCGGATCACAGATATCACTAAAATTCTAGATATCCACTCCGTGCCGAGGCCTAGTATTAAGGTACCAACATCCAAATATAAATGTTAAAAAAAAAACATTCAAATCTATATTTTTTAAAAAAGATATTTCCAGTATCACATATAAGATTTAAGATGCCGGATTGCGATTTGGTTTTAATCTGGATTGTTTGAAACTTTTTTTTTTTTTTTTTTTTTTTTTTTTTGAACATAAAAGTAAGATGCATGCGTAGAATATGTCAAATGTATGACCAAATAATACTTAAAAAGAGTGAAGTAATTGGGTCCGATTTTCTGATATTATATTAACCGGAAATAAACAGCACCATATAATCGAAATATGGGTCGAAAAGGATTGCATGGATAAGGCCTATTATTATAACTTGACAAATTCAAATATGGGCCTAATATATTGAGAATAAAATAACCCATCTAGAAGGTGATTTGGCCCAAACCCTTTCACGGTGTATCTTGCCAGTCAACCAGAAGAAGCGGAAGATATATATAGTAGAGTGGCTCAGTGGTTGTGAAGTCCGTTTGACAGTTTCAATTCACAGAAACAGAAAGCGAAAAATAAAAAAAGGTAAAAACTTGGAACATTTTTTTTTGTGGCTGAACAAATTTGGAAACCAAACCTGAAAAACTTAAAAGAATATCAACGCCTCCTGTGGAGATGATGAGGAGGCTGGAGAATGTAGGGTTAGTGTTAATGGGATGGGTGATGGTGTGGTTGGGTTCGTGCACGGGAAGGTTCGTGGTGGAGAAGAACAACCTGCGAGTGACTTCGCCGGAGTCCATCAGAGGTGTTTACGAGTGCGCCCTCGGTAACTTTGGGATCCCTCAATACGGCGGAAGCATGGCCGGCACCGTCGTTTATCCCAAAGCTAACCAGAAGGCTTGCAAAAATTTCGACGATTTTGAAATCTCTTTCAAGTCCAGAATCTCTGGATTGCCCATATTCGTTCTCGTCGATCGAGGAGGTCCCGCACTTTTCTGCTTTAATTAATAAATTCCAATTTTTTTTTTGTGAACTCTGTCTGAAAACGGACATGACCTGCTGCTGCACAAAATAGACAATGACTTGTGAGGCAAGGCACATAAAGGTGATGTTGTTGTTGTTGGTGATTTTTCCCAGATTGCTATTTCACCTTGAAGGCTTGGAACGCGCAACGAGCTGGTGCAGCGACCATCCTGGTGGCAGATAACCGGCCTGAACCACTCATCACGATGGACGCTCCAGAGGACGAAACGGCAGATGCAGATTACCTGCAGAACATCACGATTCCTTCAGCCCTGGTGAGCAGATCTCTCGGGAGCGCCATCAAAGAGGCCATAGCTCACGGAGAACCCGTCCATATAAGTCTCGACTGGCGTGAGGCTCTTCCACACCCAAACGACCGAGTAGCCTACGAGCTATGGACCAACAGCAATGATGAATGCGGACCCAAATGCGATGCACAAATCCGGTTTCTTAAGAGGTTTAAAGGAGCTGCTCAGATTCTCGAGAAGGGAGGCTACACTCGCTTCACTCCCCACTACATCACCTGGTATTGCCCTGAAGCCTTTCTGGCAAGCAGACAGTGCAAAACGCAGTGCATCAATGGAGGAAGGTATTGTGCTCCCGACCCTGAGCAAGATTTCTCCAGAGGGTACAATGGCAAAGACGTGATCGTTCAGAATCTGCGCCAAGCTTGCTTCTTTCGAGTGATGAATGAGAGCGGGAAGCCATGGCTTTGGTGGGATTATGTCACCGACTTCGCCATTCGTTGTCCCATGAAAGAGGACAAGTACAACAAGCAATGTGCTGATCAAGTCATTCGTTCTCTTGGTAACCCAACATCCATCATCTTGGCATGCGCTTCTCTTTCCATGCAATGTCTTATATGTATTCTCTGTCTTTCGAGTAGGAGTCGATGTGAAGAAAATAGACAAATGCATTGGAGACATCGAAGCAAATGCTGAGAATCCCGTTCTTAAAGATGAACAAGAAGCACAAGTGAGCCTCCTCTTCTTCCTCCTTCTTTTCATGCATGTTTCAGAAATGCAAACTAGTCTTCATTGCTAATTTTGTTAGGTTGGGAAAGGCGCGCGGGGAGATGTGACAATACTACCAACTATTGTGATAAACAACAGACAGTACAGAGGTGAGAAGCATGCAAATTCTGCAATACTCGTACATTATTTAGACATTTTAATATGTCTCACATGAGATCACAGGGAAGTTGGAGAGATCGGCGGTGCTTAAGGCCCTTTGCTCAGGGTTTCGTGAGACGACTGAGCCGCCCATCTGCTTAACCGAAGGTCCTCTCTACTTAATATACATTTCTCCATTGCTTGGTATTCACCACTTCTAACGTGTGTTTGGGGGCAGACATAGAAACCAATGAGTGTTTACAAAACAATGGAGGGTGTTGGGAGGATAAGACAACCAACATTACAGCTTGCAGGGTGCGTAAGATCCCAAAGATTCACTCTTGTTTTGTTATAGTACTTGTGTTAAATATCTACATCAAAAGTGTTGCAGGACACTTTCAGAGGAAGAGTATGTCAATGCCCCATTGTTCAAGGTGTCAAGTTTTTGGGTGACGGTTACACCCATTGTGAAGGTGAAAATAGGGTCAGTTAGATGTTATGATCTCTAAATGATAATCACATGCTTAATTTTGAGAAAAAATTGCAGCGTCGGGGGCATTGCGTTGTGGAATAAACAATGGAGGATGCTGGAAACACACTCAAATGGGCAAAACATATTCCGCTTGCCGGGTGAATCTGACATACTTTAACTCACATGCTCTGTTTTGACATTTCCTCTCTATGTTTATTTAAATCATAAAGATATTGATTCGTTTTGTTCTTGTCAGGATGATCATTCGAAAGGCTGCAAATGTCCACCTGGATTCAAGGGAGATGGGCTCAAAAACTGCCAAGGTATTAGAATAAGCCATATGATCTATGAGACATAGGAGCTTGAAAATGTTGCTCATGTGTGTGTGTAAATGCAGATGTGAATGAGTGTGAGGAGAAAACAGCGTGCCAGTGTCGCGGTTGCAAATGCAAGAACACATGGGGAAGCTATGAATGTAGCTGCAGCGGAAGCCTGCTTTACATCAGAGAGCACGACATTTGCATAAGTACATCATTCATCAAATCATTTGTATAGAAAGAAAGTATAAATCGATCATAACTGAATCTATCTTTGTGCACAGATAAGGATGCAAGAGGAGATGTAAGCTTGGGTGTTATACTGATAATAGTAATGGGATTAGGAGCAGCTGCTTTGGGAGCTTACACTGTTTACAAATACAGAATTCGGGTATGCTTCTCAAAGCGTTAACATCTCTTGTATCAAGAATATTGGTTAGATATATACAGTATTAATTCGATTGTGAGTATGTGCAGACATATATGGACTCAGAGATTAGAGCGATCATGGCGCAATACATGCCTCTCGATAATCACCCCAACACTCAACTTTCTTCTCAGCTTGAGTTGTAAGGACATTTTGCCTTCACTCAATTCAAGCTTTGATCATATATCGGGAGGGGGTCCTACACTTTAATTAGCCATTTTGGGTTTTTAAAAACCTTCTTATGCTGCTTAACTATTTTGTTTTTTTTTCTTCTTCTTAGATTCAAACGCTTTAAAACCATCCTGGTCGTCAGGTCCATCCGTTACTTTGAACCTTATATATTTGTCACTCTTTTTTTTTGGATGTCAATTATTCATTTACTACTACAGTAAACATCACACAAAATCACATTGAATTGTTCTCTCACGAGAAAGGGCCAAGCTCTGTACCAAACAATTTATCTTTGAAAAGAAAATGACAGTGTCTTGATTCACTGTACAACTAACTTTATAACAAAGCTGGAGATTGATATTTAATCCTTGTAAATATCTAGACTGAACAATTTTTTTTTTTTTTTTGAAATAAACAGTAGTTTGTGCTAATTAAACTGCATAATTTTGTATCTAAGAGTAGGAATGAACGTGGCGCATGTTAACGTGATAATGTGAAATGTTGCTTGGGAATGAAACAAAGGTAAAGAAGAGTCTTGAGATGGTTTGGTAGGCATGTTTTTTAATCCCTACTCATCATTATCCCTGTTTTTTTGTGTGAATAATATATTTTTGATTTCCATTCAACATGTATGAGATCCACACACAAGAAGCAAATTAATACTACTAGTATATTAACAGATCAAAGAGAGGAGTAAGTCAACGGGAAGATCCCCTGAGATGGAGTGAGCACCGTTTACGCCACTTCTCCACTGAAGTGATTTTAATCAGAAATATTATCAAATTATTTTTAAAAAGCAATTAGATCCATTTTTTTGTGAACTTAAATAGATAAGTAAACACATGCGTGAGTGGTACGAGTAGTAGTGCTTGAGGTGTGGAAGCTCTTCATCATAGATCATGTTGGTACATAATTTGAGTTAATTTTATAATATCAGAAACTGGTTTTAACGAAAGGGAGAAAAAAGAGAGAGGAAATGATGGCGTAGTATTGCATGCTAAGGGACAAGATAGGATCCCTTCTCTTCTACTCCATCCCCTTTGCTGCTTCCTCTCTTTTTTTTTTTTCATTTGATTCTATGATCATAAGCGTGAACGGTTTACCCTTTTGATTATAATGGTTTTTTGAAGAAAACATAATAATAAAGTAAACTAGTATTAAAAGCGGGGAGGAGAAGATTGTCTCCCGGACTTTCAACTCTTTAAGCCTCCTCTCCGGAGCTTACGCCCATTACAACACATTCTCTCTCTGCCTTTTCTCTTTATCTTTTTCCAACTCTCTCTCTCTCTCTCTCTCTCTCCGCTGCTAATAAACTCATTCAAATCTCACTTTGGGGTCCTGATTTGGCCATTAATGCTCTCTACCTTCCCTTTTACTCTTGCTTCTGTTTTTTCTCTTTCTCTATTCAAACCCTGCCTCTTCTTCTTCATCGCCGCGTCTTTTCCTCAGTTCCTCGGTAATTTTACCAGCCGACTTATTAATGTGGAGTTTCTTCAGCTCATGTTAAAACTTTGAAACCACTGGTCTCTTTTCTCTTAAATTCCGGTGAAAAGGAAGCCTTTTTTGCCTGGTTTTGTTGCCTTTCCAGCTAAAACCTTTACTTGAGCTCTGCAGCATCCATGGCGGACTAGCTTTGTTCGTTTATTGTTTTAAAAATCATTTATTTATTTATTTGCTCTGGCGACAAAATGCTGAACGACGCCGTTTCACTCAGCCTCTTCCTCTTCCTCTTCCTGGCCGTTTCAGTGACCGCAGACCCGACTTTCAACGACGACGTTTTGGGTCTCATCGTTTTCAAGGCTGGGCTCGACGACCCCTATTCCAAGCTCGCCTCTTGGAACGCCGAAGACTACGATCCCTGCAACTGGGTCGGGTGCGTTTGCGACCCGGCCACCAATCGGGTCACGGAGCTCCGGCTTGACGCCTTCTCTCTCTCCGGCCACATCGGCCGTGGCCTTCTCCGTCTCCAGTTCCTCCACACCCTAGTCCTCTCCAACAACAACCTCACCGGAAAACTAAACCCCGAGTTCCCTCACCTCGGCACCCTCCAGCTCCTCGATTTCAGCGGCAACAATCTCTCGGGTCGGATCCCAGACGGGTTCTTCGAGCAATGCGGGTCGTTGAGGTCCGTCTCCTTGGCCAACAACAAACTCACGGGTTCTCTTCCTGTCTCCCTCGGCTACTGTTCTACCCTCACCCATCTTAATCTCTCAAGCAATCGGCTTTCTGGGAGACTACCCCGCGAAATCTGGTTCCTCAAGAGCCTAAGATCCCTAGATTTATCTGCGAATTTCCTCCAAGGGGAGCTCCCCGACGGGATCGGCGGTCTCTATGATCTCCATGAGCTTAACTTATCCAAAAACTGGTTTTCCGGTGATGTTCCTTCCGATATCGGAACCTGTTCTTCCTTGAAATCGCTTGATCTCAGTGAGAATTACTTGTCTGGGAGTCTTCCTGATTCTGTGAGAACCCTCGGCTCCTGCACCTCCATTCGACTGCGAGGAAACTCACTGATCGGACAAATCCCTGACTGGATCGGTGAAATCGCCACTCTCGAGACTCTGGATCTCTCCGCCAACAACTTCTCCGGCAATGCCCCCTTCTCTCTCGGCAATCTCGAGTTTTTAAAGGAACTGAATCTTTCTGCAAACATGCTCGCTGGGGAGATCCCGCACACCATCTCCAACTGCTCCAACTTGGTCTCCATCGACGTGAGCAAGAATTCACTCACCGGGGATGTGCTCCAGTGGATGTTCAACGGCAACTCACAAAGTTCCTCGCTTTCCAGATTCAGTCTCGACAAAAGATCAGGGAACGACACTCTCCTGTCCACGCTTGGCTTTCTTCAAGGTCTTCGGGTTCTAGATCTGTCCTCAAATGGGTTTTCCGGTGAGATACCGTCCAACATTTGGGTCCTCACAAGTTTGGTGCAGCTGAATATGTCCACCAACTCTCTCTCCGGTTCTATACCCAGTGGCATTGGAGGATTGAAAGTCGCAGAGATTCTTGACCTCAGTAGTAATCTTCTCAATGGAACACTTCCTTCTGAGATCGGAGGAGCCGTCTCCTTGAAAGAACTTAATCTGCAGAGAAACCGCCTCACCGGCCAGATTCCGCCTCAAATCTCAAACTGTTCGGCTTTGAACGCCATGTAAGTATGTAATTATCAAAGAAATGACAAGCTCTTGTCTTTCTGAATCTGTGTGTGCGTGTTTGTCACCTCATCTCACTGATAACGTAGCAAACTTTTGTTGTGCAGATATCTGTCGGAGAATAAGTTATCCGGTGGGATTCCGGGGAGCATTGGGAGTCTGAGCAACCTCGAGTACATAGACTTGTCGAGAAACAGTCTCTCGGGAAGCTTACCCAAAGAAATAGAGAAACTTTCGCACCTGGTGACCTTTAACATCTCTCACAACAGCATCACTGGGGAGCTTCCAGCTGGAGGTTTCTTCAACACTATCCCACTCTCTGCCGTCACCGGAAACCCATCCCTCTGCGGCTCCGTTGTGAACCGCTCATGTCTCTCTGTCCACCCCAAACCAATCGTCCTCAATCCCAACTCCTCCAATCCAGGCAACGGTCCACCTCTGAGCGGTCAGATCAGGAAGAGCGTTCTGAGCATATCCGCGCTCATTGCTATTGGCGCAGCCGCCTTCATTGCCATCGGGGTTGTGGCCGTCACTCTGCTCAACGTTCACGCCCGATCTAGCGTTTCCCGTCACGATGCGGCTGCTGCTCTCGCTATGTCGGTTGAAGAAACGTTCAGCTGTTCCCCAAGTAAAGATCAAGAATTCGGGAAGCTCGTGATGTTCTCAGGCGAAGCGGATGTGTTTGACACCACAGGCGCAAATGCATTGCTCAACAAGGACTGCGAGCTGGGTCGTGGTGGGTTCGGAGTGGTCTACAGGACGAATCTCCAGGATGGGCGTCCTGTGGCGGTCAAGAAACTGACAGTCTCGGGTCTGATAAAGTCACAAGAGGAGTTCGAGAGAGAGATGAGAAAACTCGGGAAGCTGAGGCACAGGAACGTGGTGGAGATCAAAGGGTACTACTGGACGCAATCGCTGCAGCTCCTGATCCACGAGTTTGTCTCAGGGGGAAGCTTATACAGACATCTCCACGGAGACGAGAGCGTTTGTCTAACGTGGCGCCAACGCTTCAGCATCATCCTGGGGATAGCGAGAGGTCTGGCTTATCTGCACGGCAGTAACATCACTCACTACAATCTGAAAGCAACGAATGTGCTCATAGACGCCACAGGGGAGGCTAAAGTCTCTGACTTTGGACTGGCCAGGCTCTTGGCGTCGGTGCTGGACAGGTGCGTCTTGAGCGGCAAGGTACAGAGCGCGTTAGGGTATACAGCCCCAGAGTTTGCATGCCGGACGGTCAAAATAACCGACAAGTGCGATGTGTACGGGTTTGGAATCTTGGTGCTGGAGGTGGTGACGGGGAAGAGGCCGGTGGAGTACGCGGAGGACGACGTGGTGGTGTTGTGTGAGACAGTGAGAGAGGGGTTAGAGGAAGGGCGGGTGGAGGAATGCGTTGACGGTCGGCTGAGAGGGAACTTTCCGGCGGAGGAGGCAATACCGGTGATAAAACTAGGTTTGGTATGTGGGTCCCAAGTGCCATCGAATAGGCCAGAGATGGAGGAAGTGGTGAAGATATTAGAGCTCATACAGTGTCCCTCTCAGGACATGGAGTGACAAACGGAACGACCCTTGTCTGTATTTCTTTTATTCCTTCTTCAGTTTTCATATAATCGTAATATATAGTTCATCTTTTCTTGAAAAAAAACGATTTTGTGTTTCTTGTGAGTTTACCAGCTGAGACACTTGGGTGTATCAATCAAATGTTGAAGGTTGGTTCATAAAAAATGATCCAAAGAAGTGACTAAAAAGAGTGTTGGTCAAAGGAACTCTTTATTCTACATATGACTAACTCCTTGAAAGCCTTAGTATTTTGGTTTAAGGTTTCTCTGTTAACAGACATTACCATATTGAGAAGATGAGGAAAGTAAGCATGATGCAAAGGAAAAGTGAGAAAACATGATTCCCAGACATTCGTTTGATTTTGAAGCCGGTCAGGCGCACTAAACCATTTGCTCAGAGTCTCGCACACTGCCACAAAATTTACTTGTGTTCATAAATAACTATTTTCTTGGCTTTTTTATTGTTCTTTTCCATAAAATAAAATAAAACAGAGAAGTCTCTCTCAGTCCACCACCATCCACTGTGAAGCGAAAGTCCCAAAAGGGTCCAAGCATGAGCTTTTTCGGTAATGCTTTCATTATTGTATGGTTATGGAGTGCCCCACACACTTACTCATTTCTCATTATTATTTTCACTGTACTCCTAAAAGCTTTTGCATTTAATTTAATTCTACTTTTGTCAGCTAATTTACATACACTCATGATTCACACAGGACGTGGTGGTCCGGAGAAACGTATGCATGTCAAAACAAAATCACCTTATGGAATGGAAGCACACTATAAATCTAATTATATTATAAGCGATTCAGATTTGAGACGCCCTTTAGCATTTTGTCATTTTGAGTGCGTTTTATAATTATCATTATGTAGTCGCTTTTCTCGGGTAGTGACTCTCCTTTATTCTCCTCGTTAAACACTAAAAAGCGCGTTTTATATTCAGTAGTTTGCATTCCTCACCTTACTATATACTAATACATAAATCTTTTATTTTTTACGTTACTACTACTTTTCTTGATACACTTGACCACCTTTTTTGTTGTCTTCCACTCTCAAAAGCAGGGCTTTGTTTTGATAAATTGATTCATATTTTATTACAAAAATAAACCAACAATTGGGCTGTGTTAGGCCCATATCAAACAAACAATGGTATTTGGTGAAGCAGCAACATCCATCAATGCAAAGTGATCTCGCGGGAGAATACCACAGACATGAACAACACGCCAAATGGCTGTAACCATAGATAATATAAATTTCGTCCAAGTAATCAGTCTAGGAAAAAGCACTCGATAGCAGAGGATGTATCAAACCCGGCTCATGTAGGTACCGGTTCTCGTGTCCACCATGATATCTTCACCAGCGTTGACAAAGAGCGGTACATTTACAACAGCGCCAGTCTCAAGTGTGGCCGGCTTTGTTCCACCTGCAACCACCCTCTCCCAGGTAAGAAGTAAGCCTTTGTAGCATAAGAAAAGAGTGAGAGGCAGGCATTACCTTGAGCAGTGTCACCTCGAAGACCAGGATCAACGTCAACAATTTGAAGCTGAACTGTGATGGGCAGATCAAAATCGATGACCTGGAAGACAGAGGTGGTCAGTCTCAGTGAGTGGCAAAAAGAGTGACAAATCCCCAAATCGGTGGTACCTTGTCCTTCCAGTAGAGCAGATTGCAGTCCATTCCCTCTTTCAGCCATTTGGTCTTTTCGCCCATCTCTGCCTCGTTCAAGCGTGTTTCCTCGTACGTGCTCAAGTCCATGAACACAAACTGAGACCCGTCTTTGTATGTGAACTGCTTCGTCTCCTTGGACACATTCGCCTCCTCCATCTGAAACAGGAGCCGATGCCATGAGGCATTGAGCAAGATAAGGAGGGCAAAAGAGGGTTGGTTACACTAATTCCAGCACGAAAGGTCCTCTCCACGGTGCTCCCATTCACGTAGTTCCTGATTTTGGTTCTCACGAAAGCAGCTCCTTTTCCAGGCTTCACGTGCAGAAACTCTGCCCACAATCCAACCCATCATCACTATGGTAACAACAATTGGAACATCTCTAAACAAGGAGCCTACCCAGAACACGCCACGGTGCTCCATCCACTTCGATGCTCGTCCCGACTTTGATGTCGTTGCTAGACAATGCGTAAATCCCTGCAATTTCACCCAAGATAATCAATACCCACACCAGTATCTATCATCAAAGACACACAGAGAGAGAGGTCTTAACTGGAAAATCTGGGCGCAATTTGCTTCGGGAAAGACAGTGATGACGAAGAAATGCACAAGGACGATACACAAGAAGTCGCCATTCCCGGCGATAAATTGATTGATAGCTGGAAAATGCTGAGACTCGTCTTCTTCGCCGGGCGGATAAGGGAACCCTTATTTAAACCCGGTTCAATTGCTATCTCCGGTTGTGTATGGGCCAGATTCACAGTGGGCCTTAGGGTGTTGTGGGCTTGGACATCGTTGGTTATTTGCGATGTTTTAATAGGGCTGAACGAAACAAACAAACAGACACTGTTACATGTACAAAGATACTAAATTCCGGACACTAGTGATCCATGGCAGCACAAAACTGAGTATGATGATGATGAGAGTCGCAACTAATATTGCCTTGTTTGAGAAACCCAACGAACGATTCCAGATGCGATCTACGAGCTTCTTTTCCGGCGACTTTACCTCTCTCCGCTTCCACTTGAGGAGGAGGAGAAGACTCCGTAAGAATTTAAATCTGAATCTGGACCTGGGCTTGGGTACGCCATCGGGTTTGGAATAAGAAGCGACTTTGAGATGATGCTTGCGGAATCTAAGGAGGAATCGCAATCGATGAAGCTTCCAAGATGATGATAATGGGTTCTGAAGATGGAGCTTCAAACTGAATCTTCTGACTCTCACCCCAACTTTAAGCTTCCACACTAACCTCTGCTCTTCTTCATCTCCCATCGCTCTCCCTCTCCCTCTCCCTCGCCAGTCAATTGATCATTTTAGGGTTTTTTTTTACACTCGCAACCCTTAAACCCAGCATGATAGTGGGCCCGTTGAACTTTCCCAGGCCCAAATAACTCGGCCTCGTGCTTTCTTTCATTTTTTCGGGTTTTTAATTCGTTTTAAAAAAACAAACATACAAAGCGCTCACTAAAATCTGATTAGGTGAGGTATCATAATAACAGAGACACCAGCTTATACTAGTACAACTACTAATGGTAGAAAAGTAAAAGTCTATAGGATTACTGCTTTGCGATTACAAGTTTAACCATAATTAATCCTCCAGCTAGTGGTGATTAACCACCACCCATTCAGAGAGCTAAGGCTAGCTCGATCCCGCCACGTGGAGCTCGATGAGCGAATGCCGACAATTGGGACAGGAAGAGTGAGAGGCAAGCCACGTGTCGATGCAGGACATGTGGAAGCTATGGTTACACGGCGGAAGAACTCGGACCCTCTCACCGTCCGCAAACTCGCCCAGGCAGATGGCGCACTCCGTCGCTGCTATCTCCACCCCGCTCGACCCGTACGCCGCCACCGGAATCCTCTTCAATTCTCGCTTCTTCAATCCGCTTGCGTCAGCCGCCGTAACTGTCGCCGCCGCCGCCGATGATAACCCCCAGCCGCATCGCATCGCGCATCTCAGCATCGAATTAAGCCCAAGCGCGAGTATCAAAGCGCAGAGCAGAGCAGCGAGTATGATCACCATGTTTGCGTCGAAGTTCATGTCCCTCAGGTACCCATCTCCGCCGCTCGTATCGTTCCCACCGCCGTGGGATTCCAGTAGCAGTCGGTGCATTCTCGGAGGAGAGAGAGAGAGAGAGAGAGAGAGAGAGAGAGAGAGAGAGATCCTGTTGTTGTCTTGTTTTAATTTTGTGTCCAAGAGACGTGACAGGATTTTCGAAGTTAACTGCTTCGTCTCTATGGTTTTCTTTGTCTCTGCGGTTTGTGGTTATCTGTTTATCATACACAGTGGGGACCTTTTCCTTTTCTTTTCTGCTCTCTCTCTCTCTCTCAAACATAAATTTTCTCCTTTTAATTTTGGCTTGTGGATAAACAATTTGTAGAGCACAAGTAATTACGAAAAAAGCAAAATCAAATGGAAAATCAGAGAGACTCTCTCTGTTCTTTGGCACTTTGCCAGATTTTTTTGTCTCTAGGAGAAGATATATACAGAACCACGTACATATATATATATATATATGTCTGCCGCATCAAGTATAACTGTGTTGGGTCCCCCGAATCAGGATTGTACATTTGATTTAAACAAATTAAAGAATAGTGATTAGTGATTAGTGAGTGAGTTAATTATAAAACAAAATAAAAAGGGAAGGACAAAGCACTGAGAGAAGTAATAATCTTCTAAGGATGAAACTATCAGAAGTGGCAACAAACTATTTGGTGAATCGTAACAACGCCAACTACACCATACCTGCGTCATTTCAATTATGATTTCCTCATTTCTTTTCTTTTATTTATTTTTTTTTTTTTATAAAGCTTTAGAAGTGAACTAGGTTTTGTAACTCCCACGTTTTTTGGCTACTCATTTTCGAGTTTGATTGATGACTTGGTGAGAATGCATGACTAGATAGTATGTACTTATTTCATGATAATCATTTATTTAGTGAAAGATAACATCATCATACTATGCCATTAACCTTTTGTTTTGTCTTAAAAAAAAAACAATTTTTAAAGGGAAACTATGATAAATTCGAGAAATGACATAACTAAAACGATCTTGAAGAAGAGTCTGAGTCGGTTAACTGATTTTTAAATAGATTATTCGGGAGTCGGCAGCACAAAGGTTTTTGTTTTCGGGTGGGACAAGGAGGCGTTGGTTTTGCTTTTGGAAGCCTACCCGAAGCAATCTTGATAGTACTACTTACTGAGGGCCCACAAACAGCTCCACCGATTCGTCGACACGTTTCCCTTAAGGCCCACATAATTACTTTGACGTCCAAATCTATGGCCCACAAACGACCCAGTATTCACCCATTAGGTAACAAAACATTTGATTTTTATAATAAAGCTTAGGTGAGCCATTTGGCGATGGATTGCTGCGGACTTGACGTCCATTAATTACTGTTGATTTGTCAATTTCGGGTTTAATCAGTCCATGGACTTGATGAATGTTTTTTTAACCGAAGCGATTTCACAAGTGTATTAGAGTCACTGGATATTTGAATGCAAATTCACTGTCGATTACTAGCGGGAAACGGGAAAATACACTCTACTCAGGTTACGATAATAATCAGAAGGAATTATACATATCCTCATTATTCTTCTTCGTCTTTGCAGCAGCTTCTTTCATTCATTTAATGCTGTACAGATACAGAAACCAAACGTCAATTAGAAGAAGACAGAATATATATATATATATATATATATATATATATATATATATAAATGCCTTGAATTTGTCTAGTGTGTGTTCACCTGTTGCAGTTGGTGGAAGGGTCGATCTTGAACGTAAGATTGACACCGCACTTGCCTGGCAAAGCGGCAGCATTCATAAGATTCTTGGAAGAGTAAGACACTCCTCCCAACGCCGACTTGATGCACCGACACACACCTTGCCGATCCGATGCGCTCTTAGCCTGCCCGTTTAGCATCCTTATGCCGTCGCAACACCTGCGCGGGATGCTTCCTCCCTGCGCCACGTACTCAGCACACGGGTAAAGGTCTGCCACCACCGTGTTACAAGACACAGCTGCTTCTGAACCCCTTGCAACTATGCATGCAAGAACCAGCCATGTAGCTACTACCACAACCCTCATTATTCTCTCTCTCTGTTTTCTCTGTTTTTGTGTTTGCTTTGGGCTTTGGAATAGCGAAACAGGTCTTTATATAGCTGCAAGTTAAGAGATTGTACCGTGTGGTTGAGCCGTTGAGGGATGAGTGAATGCTATTACTTGAGGGTAATTGAATGCAACCTTCACCTACCCAAACAAATCATAAATATGTTTTTTGCATTCACTATGTCTTCTCTACAAATCCCAAAACAACTACAACATATTCCGCAAGCTACTTCAACTCTAAGATTTGTCTTGGAGAGGTAGAGTCAATAATTCAATTTATTTAACACATTATGTAGCTTTTGAAAAGGGTCAGTTTTTTTTTCTGCATATTTGCTAATAAATCATCTTAAATGTTCAATTTCAAATATCAAAAGGACTACTCTCTCCCATATTTTCTAATATTTAGTAATCATTTACTCAAATAAGCTGCTCTCTACACACAAACGTCTTTGATATTTGAAATTTAGAAGTTTAACACAAAAATAAAGATTAAAGGATGCAGAATCAAGAGAGAAAAAAAAATACACACACAAAAGATAAATAACCTTTTTTTGTTTGCATCATCAAATAGAAGAGCAGGGAAATCAAAAGTCTATTTTGTATAAAAACAAAATTATGTAAACTTTAAGTAACATTACGATTTTTAAAGAAAAAACATAATATAAAAGGATGCGGAATCAAGAAAACAACTAGTAAACTGTAAAATAAAATAAAAAGAAATGCAATTTACAGCTTGAGAGACAAGTCTAGCTCAGAATCCTTGCAAGTATCAGGCTCCGGTTGATCTTGTTTCTCGCCTTGCTCATTATTCGTATGAATGATTCCCTCTAGGTTTGAAATCAAATTTTTGGACAAATCGTCCGACTTTTGGCACGAGAGGTGAGACAGGAGAGGGATATGGGAGTTCATGTTAAGGCCTCTGTATCCTAATCGACATCTGAAGATGTTGAACGGATAGGCCTTAGATTTACCAATGTTTGGATTGTAACGGACCCCAAGATCATACTGCGAGCTGCTGCTGCTGCTGCTGTAGGAAACACCACCGGGTGGGTACTGGCTGTAGAAGGAGAGTCCAGGATAGTTGATCTCGATCTCTTTACGCCTTTTGGCCAATGATCGCTCTTGCTTGTGAGCGTTCTGGTGTCCTCCTAAGGCTTGAGAAGTAGAGAACTCTTTCTTGCAGAAGGTGCAAGCAAACACCCTCGCTTTAGCCTCGTTCTTCGTCCCTTCTGCCTCATCCAACACTCCAAAACCAGAGTTTCTTATGTTGTCGTTGTTAAACAAGAAGCGAAACTCTAGCCTAGGTGTCTCCGTCGCTGGCTCAGCCGCAATCTTCTCTTTCATTTTCCCCTTGGTATCAGTTAAAAAACCGATCTCATGCGATGAAGATGAGATACTGCTCGAGGAACATGATGCGAGATTGAGTTCCATGGTCAAAGGAGCAAAAGATTTTCCTGGGGTTCGTGTGAGATCACAGAGGAGAACACGAGCTGCTTCTATTTATTGATCAATAGGGATAATCATTAATGTCTAAAAATCTTGATAATTATGGTAGAGAATCCCAGGTTTAGCAAGTATCATTCAAGCAAACGGCTTATTTAGACTATTTTTTGCCTTATGCCTTTGATTCTTTAAATATATCACTCAAAATTTATGCCCAATCACTTTTTTTCTTTCCCATTTTCATTCATCCATTTCTCTATTTCCTTTTCTCTATACTTTCAGATTATCAATTAATCTCTTTATTTGGTAATATTTTCTTAACTTCTGTCCGTTTCAATTTACACTTTCTTTATTTAAAAAAAAAATATTGAAATGATGTATATGTCATAGTATTTTATTAGGAAATATAAGTCCACTGCTTAGTTGTTTGTGAATCTGTAGTAAACCAAGATTAAGCAAGTTGCATTTACTGATCTTTCTGTTTTGAATTCAAAATTAGAAACTTCAGTTTTACTTTTGTATTCAAGGATACGTTACATTTATTTTTCTCCAACTTACTTAGCTAGTTTTTTTTTGTTGAAATGGAAAACATTTATATTTTTCTCCAAAACATGCTCAAATCATTTAAAAATTTAGACTTTGTCAATATATATGTGTGACTTGTCTGCACCTGTCTTTCATTATTAACAGTATATTTTTAAATAGTTAGAAGTTAGAACTAGAATAAAATAAAAGTTTGAAGAATTAAATTTATCAGAAGCCATTAATCTACAGAGAAAAACTCTTCTACAAGTATAGTATACATGCATTATTTATTATTCTAAATATATATGCACTAACTAGAAAAACATAGTTTCTGGAGTATAAGTTTAAATTATATAATATCAGTGTTTTGGGGATAATATTACTTCAAAAAATTTTATTTATTTATATTTTCATCATCAAAACTTCTGACGCGCTTCATTAATCCCGAAAATCCTTAGAATTAGCAAAATTTATGTGGACTCTATTGTCCGTTACGATCCCGTAATTTAGTGTTGGGCTATTTTATGGCTCAACTAAATTCTCGTTATAAAAAAATTGGAGATGGGAAGATAAGGAAATTTAAGCAAACTAAAGAAAAATATTTAACAAAAGTATATATGGTGGATAATATACATACACTAGTTGGTATATTATCATCACTTTTGTTGTTAGTATATAGAAAGATAGAGGAAGCTTTCAAAATGTGACCGAATTAGTTTGGAATGCTACCGGTTGCGGTTGTTAATGTAACTTGACAACGAAGAAGAAGAAGAAAGAGAAGTGAAATGACTAACTTACTCTATAGACTTTACGCGTAAGTCTAACTTTGCACTTTGTCAGCTAAAGAGGCAGTGGCAGATTCCTTCCTACTAGATCGTTTTCTAAGAGTTTCTGTTGTTCCTCTTGGCAGCAAAGAGTTGGCGAATGAATGCAAACTTCCCTTTTGCACGGCTCGAGAACTCAGTGATGGCTCCGCCGTTGCTTCTGCTGGCCTCAGTCTCAGGCAGAGGCTGAGGAGGAGGAGGAGGAGAGAGGGTAAGGAGGAACTCGTCGAGCAATCTGATAATCTGGCTGAAGCTTGGCCTCATGTTCGGGTCCTCCACCCAACACGATTGCACTATGAACGCGAGGCTCGGAGATATTCCCTCTGGCATTCCCGGCCTCTCCTGCTGCAATGTTGCCAAAAAAACAACAAAAGAGGTTCATTTCCCTCCAACAAAACACACGAGAGAAGAAGAAGAAGACGAAGACGCACTAGACCTTGAAAGCTGCTGCATAGGCGGCTTGCAGGTTGGACATCCCCTCGAACGGCATCCGATTTGTCAGGAGCTCCCATAGGACTATTCCAAAGCTGTAGACATCTACTTTGTTGTTGTAATGCTTCTTCTCTCCTTGGCGCAGCGTCACTGTACTGTAGAGCTACGGATGGCATGAACATATGGTGCTAAGGTTAGTGGAGTAGGCGAATGTGAAACATGTGCAAAACTGACAGAGGTATAACTAATAAATAAAAACCTCAGGAGCCATCCAACGGTATGTCCCCGTCTCCGCGGTCATCATCTCTGTCACCGTTTCTTCCCTAGCAAGCCCAAAATCAGCAAGCTTCACGGATCCGTGGTTCTCCGTCAGCAGTAAGTTGTCTGTTTCAGTCCATAGAATGAGTTAAAAAAGGTAGCTGCTCCTAGGAGTCAGTGATAGAAGAATGGAGTGAGTACCAGGTTTGAGGTCTCGGTGTATGATTCCATTGGCGTGTAAGCAGTCCAAGGCCCTGGCAATGTCGAGGGCAAAGCTCAGGGCGAGACGGAGATCAAGCAGCTCAGGGCGGATGCTCATGAGATATTTACGCAGTGACATCCCTGGGAGCAGCTCTGTTACTATGACCATTAGAGGATCTTTGCAGGCTCCAATGAACTGCAAATTAGTATGCATGAAAGGGTTTAGAAATCTCATCTCTCAGCTTTGGACAACATTAAAGGACACACCTTTACAAGATTTTGGTGTTTTACTCGGGACATCATATTGACTTCACGGATGAAACGGCTCTCGAGTGAGCATGTCTCATCTGGCTTGGTCCCGCGGTGGAGAACTTTGATTGCAACAATCCGCGTCCCGTACCTGAAGAAGGTGGTGAGCACTGAGCAGTGATCAGCTCAGAACAAACAAGAGACCAACAGTGAGCAGAAAGAGCCCTAACTGGAAGAAGAGAATAGAGACGACGGACCTTCCTTGGTAGACTTTGCCGTGAGCCCCTTCCCCGATTTTGGAGCCGATGAACAACATTTTCGGATCCACAAGCAAACTCTCGTCAATCGTCCGCCTCTCATCGCAACTCATATTCGCTACCAAATCACTCGTTTCAACCCCATCAATCCCCAATTTCCCGCATTCACTCCATCATCATTAACCCTAATTCCAACTACCCAGTATCTAACGCTGCTCCCCCAATATTCACACCGATTCCCAGAATTCTCCTTTTCCTTTCCAACCTTCTGTTCCAAAGGGAGTATCTTGGCCGCTCCAGGCCAATTTCCTCTCCACCAGCCCTAAATCCAATGAGAATAATAGGTCGAGTAGCTCAAAACAAAACTCCCAGTCCCAGAGAGAGGACGATAGAAAGCAAATACCATATATACCCCGAAGAAAGCAGGAAACACACACAAAAGCGAGGATCGCAGGGGGGAGGGAGGCACTTCTCTGAGTTTCCGGCGAAGGAGTATTTATCTAACTTCAGAAGAAAAAGAAGCAAAGTAAAGGGTAGAGACGAAGAAGCCAATGAAGAAGACGCAACACCCAAAACAATTCCTTAATATCCCATCGAAATAAAAAAAGAAAATGGAGGGAGTTGATGCTTTTACTAACCCAGTCATAAAGTGACACGTGGCGAGCAGCCGTCTTGGACATTCTTGCTCGAGGCCCCACTGACCCTGAGGATTATTGTACGGTACGAAACAAGGAACGCGCTAATACTTCAGATCGGCTCGGCTCAATCTATAAGCCGGCTAAGTATGGGCTTTGCCCTATGGCTTATTAGTCGTGCTCGCCTCCTTTGGAATATCAAATTCGAATTGATGCATTATCTTGTCGCTTTTTTCTATCCAGCACGTTTTCTTTTTAAATTATTATTATTTCTTCGAAAAACGACTTCTTTAAACCTTTTACATCTTCGACAATATGATTTGAAAATGTTTAGAAGGATGATTTTCAGTACTAATAAACATCTCGACGTTCAAATTCACTTCTTAAGGATGTCAAACAATTTTTAAAGTTGACCACAACGTACAATTATCTTCAAGCGTTTGTTTTGTTCTGTTTATATTAAATTTTTGTCATATATTGTAAATAACTGTTTATTATATAATTATATTTCGTATATAATACATAGCATTATATTTTATATTTATTAATTAAATAAAAACATGCACTCAAATTAGATAAATTAGACATATCCTATTTAGGTATACAAAAATATTCAAAAATTCAGTAAAAACTGACTTTCAAAATATAACGGAATAATTACTATTAAAAATAAATGAACTTTTCAAAATATTATTAAATATAAAGGAACATTATTCTTTAATTTCAAAAATAAAATATATTTTGCAACAATTATTAAATTGTTGTAAAAAATAACATTAGATTATTGCTATGGGCAAATTGTTAGGTAATGTAACAATTCGAAAGTAACATTTACAACAATGATTGACTTTAATCAGATACCCAGAAAAAAAAATGGCTGATTTTTAGTGTAGCTTTCATTTTGTTGTTGTTCATAAGTATAGCTTTTTAATGTGCTGAAAAATATAGTTTTCCGAATTTAATGTCCTTTAGAAAATTTGTCATTTGGTGGGCCGAGTTCTCCATTCATGATGGGTTGATAAACATCAGGTCCAAATATCAGACATTTGGGTACATTTTTTTGTCTCCGCCAACCTCTGAACTTATATCAAGGCCCATTTAATTTGGGTTTCACTTTTAGTTTCAGGTAACAGGCCATCGTCGTAAGGTTTGTAATTCATACATGTCGTGTTTTATTGGCAAACAAAAAAAACGTATCGTGAAAAAAGCTCCAAATCGTACTCTCCCTGGGATTAGACGTTTGTAGAAAATCGTACCACTTACTATTTAATTTAAAATAAATCAACCAAGGATAGAAACTATTATATCACACAAATTGTCAATAAGATCAAGTAAATTAAATTTAGCATAAAAGCTTAAAAAGAATTAATGCACATTTTTATATCATGTTTAAAATCAAAAACATGATTTTACAAATGATATTGCATTATTCTGTATACCTTTAATTAACATAATTTACATCACACAAATTATCTAGACAAAATTTTGTGGATTGCATTGTTGGGATTAATCAGCATTGTTTGAACAACAAAAAAGGTAATAAGTTTAGTTTATCTTTTAAAAAAAAAAAAAATAGTGTGCATACGTTACGGTGACACGTGTGTTAGGAGCTATTTAATATTTATCTGATATAATATATTTGATCTGCATGGAATTCACAATCTTTTTGATAAGAGTGATTTGATGTTTATTTGTTTTCATAACGATGGAAAATATGAGACTGTTGTGGCTAAACAAAGATGTATGTATCATATTGGGTCTTCGCCTCATATATTTCTATAACTCCTTAGAATGTACAATAAGTCAATAATTATAACTTGATGTTTATTTGTTTTCATAACGATGGAAAATATGAGACTGTTGTGGCTAACAAAGATGTATGTATTATATTGGGTCTTCGCGTCACATATTTCTATAACTCCTTAGAATGTACAATAACTCAATAATTATAACTATCAAGCCTGTCAGGTAATTATCATGTGATGATAGTACTCAATTCAAACTGTTATATTTTAGTTAGCTAGAGAAAATTAAATTTGAACTCCACTGTTGAAGAAGATATTAATTCTAGGGTAATTTGTAAGTTCTGGTATAGAACTAGTCTTTTTCAAAAAACTATATGGCAAGTTTAGCTTTTAGAGAGTTGTTTAATGGGGATATGGGTTGTTCAACTAACGATTGATAATTAATCACATAATAGTAGTTTTTCCAAATGGTATTGGTTGAACAAAACTAATAAATATGAGATTTTTATAGTTTGCAAAAAAATAAATAAGTATCGGTGTGTTAGTAGTTTAGAGTTTAGATTATAGGGTAATTTAGCTAATTTTTATTTGACGTTGTAAACAGAAAGAAAAATGTATTATTTACTACAAAATTGGAGGTAAAAATAACAGAAACATTGTAAAACGACATTGATTTTATATAATAACGAAAAAGCCGCAAGGATAAAATGAATGGTCCAAGTTATGTAGCGTTGGTTGTTCTTGTTCCCTCGTGTCGTTTGTCTTCATCGTCTCCCATTTCAGATTACGCATGGACGTACCGAAGACACGTGCATTTCACAATTTTTTTTTTTTTTTTTTTTTTGTAAAATGCATTTCACAATTTTGTTTTAGAAATGACTGTTGTAACTTGCAAATGTAACTATAACTTAAATCACCTGTAATTTGTGTACGTGTTAATTATATGTTTGTTTTCTATAAGGACTTAAGCTCGAAATTAGTTTTATTTGAGTGGCTAGCGACGTTTTTTTCGTATACATTGCAATGTTTCAGTAATAACTATCGGATTCAAAATTTGTATGGCTGCACAAAAAGAGAAAACAATCTTACGGCTGGTCATTATGATTTTTGGTCCGTTTTTATACAAACCCAAATTAATCTACGAGCGTAAATCTGAAACTTCAGGGTTTTAACAAAAAGGAAACGAAAAGCTAAAACTTTAGCACATCTGAATATTTATTTACTTTTCTAATTCTCTACGATCAAAGGTGTAAGAGCATCTCTAATCTATTGCTATTTTTTCCTCTACTTTTAGATGAAAAAATAGAGGTGTCATTTTTGTTCTCCAATACACTTTTATTTTAGAGGAAAAAATAGAGATGCTACTTTTTCCTCCAAATATAGAGGAAAAAATAGGTTCCTCTATATTTTCCTCTAAAATAGAGGTATTCCTCTAAAATAGAGATGGATTGGAGAAAAATCTACATATAATTTAGAATTTTTTTATTTTAGAAAAAAAAATAGTAAAATAGATTGGAAATAGTCTAAACAAACGAGGACATTGTATTATATGGAAGTTTGTGTAATTTTCTTTATTTAAAATAAATACGAAAGTAAGTAGTACTGCTAAAATGTGATAATTTCACACAAGAATCAAATCCCAAAAAGATTTGACAGGCGACGCAGCAATGATAGTGTAATAATAATAATAAATCAAATGATACAAATTGGCCCATTCTTTTTATTTTGATGGATTTTAAAAAAAAGAGATACGGTGAAATGCACACGCGCAAAGTATTAAATATATTAATGCAATAATTACGATCTGAAAAGACAACCCTAATGTTCGTTAGGTACGATTTAGTTTATAGATAAAAAATTATTCTATTGTCAAGTCATCTTCATTGCATTGCTTCGAAAGTCATATGACCACAGATTTCAAGTCCTTCCCCAATCAACTCATTTATATTGTGTTTTATTCCAATTTTGTGTTTTCGTATTATGGCGGAACAGTATATTTAACTCAGCACACCAAAGGGTATCATATCATAATAGCCAATAAAACCGTTCTTTTAAATGTATAGTTCTCTGAGTAAATAAGCTTATATGGTTTCGTGCAAAAGTCAAAACAACCATGATAGATTTTTGGTTTTTCTACTTGTTATATATACAATTAATGTAATACTAGTTTTATGGGTTTTTCGTGTACTAATCTCTTATTTAAAATAGAAAGAAAATACTCCTAATTAACTATGGAGCCGAGGAGCAGAGAGACAAGATCACAAGACGCAGAATCTCCGATGATAATGTCGGAAGGCAACAAGTGCAGTTAAATGGTCGTTGATAAAGTCTTCACTTGCGGCTCACCGACAAGTCTCCCTCATTATTACATATATATTAATTCGCACTCGAACTACTTATAAACGATAACACGACCGATCTGATAATAAATTTTACATAACTCTCTATACTTTCAATTTTTGTTGATGTCTAAAGTAAAAATAATTTCACAAATTATCTATTTTTTTCCAGCAATAAAAATTCCTTTTCCTAGCAATAATAACGGCGTTGTTAAAGTTGATACTGCTTACAGTATTCTAGAGTATTTAAATTTATTAAAAACCGACGACAAACGGGTCGGTCTTAATTAATCCTGAACTCCTCATTGATATCACAGTTTATTTTACCAAATACGTTGAGGTGTACTACTCTATTTTGTGTAATTATGAAATGGACCTGCTTTTAAAATTTTCACGAAAAAGGAAAGTCGTGCCTTGTGGATTATCTGCAACTTTCTCTTAAAAGGAACTAGTGATAAGTAACGGGAGACAATAGAATAAAAACAACTTTTGTATATTATTCCAAATAGAAAACGCGCCTATGATACGTCGCAGTTCTGACCAAATACACTACTTATGAGTATTTACCGATGTTGCTATGGAGTGATGATATAATTAAGTATACTGTTATTACCGAGACATAAGTAATTAATTGGATGTTTAAATGTTAGTGTAAAGTCAAATCATAAAATTAACACTACTATTATATTAGAATCGAAGTGCTAGGTTTGAAAATTCATATATAGTGGTAACCGGTAGGGTATATATCGCATGGAAATATCACACTGGCTACCACCAGTGACAAAAACACATTATATTAGAGTATTTTCATCGAAGTCTATAGAAAAATAATCTCAAAATTTTTAAAATTAAAGTAATAGATAAGAAGAGAAAAGAGAGAGACGTCTTCTGTTTTTGAGAATTTATTAAAAACATATCTAAATAGATATTTAATTATGATTAGCTGAATCTGTTTATATTTAAAATTTTGATTTAGTTTTTAAACATTATTATTAAAATATTAATGAGACACGTTTGTTAAAATATTCACCGGTGAAAGTGCTCTTATTATCTCAAATCCTTTTTACATTATGATTTTAATCAAGCTTAGGCAAAGTCCTAATTTAAAAATAAAACAAGAATCCCTCTTTTATCTTTGCTTTATGGTTCAAAAATAATAATAATAAAACAAGAAATATGCATGGTGTGGTGATCTATGTTTTTGATTGACGCTTTTATTTTTAAGTTTTGTTGTAATTTTACAAAAAAAAAAAAAGATGGTTGTTAATTTAAATTATATATAAAAAGGATGAATTCGTTGTAGTATATGGCCCGCGTGCCCGACAAAGCTATTGAATCTTTTTTTACGTGTTCTCAAGTCTCGACTTCTCTCATATTGAAAATAGATAGATGGATTTTGGGTTACCTTTTTGAAGTCCTTGTTTTGACCTTCACTATAATAGTCATACAAACTTTTGTGCACACACAGAACTCCGCATATATACACATATAATTATCACATGGGTGTTTCAGGTTCAGATTCAGGTTCGGATGATTTTTTCCGATTTTTATTTATTTACAGTTGATTTATTAAATAATAATATATAAAGTAAAATATAATATATGTTAGATAGCATGGTCTGGTCTGGTCATATGCTTTTTGTTGTTGCAGACGCAAAGGCAGCGTTTATGGTGACTATCCCTTCTCTGGTAGGATAAGAAGCGGATAGCGCATCGACAGAAAATTCAAAGAATTCGTGACGCTGTTAAAAATGTAAAACTCAAAAATACGGCAGTACCATCAACTATTTATACCCTTTTATATTTTTTACTTGTTCAGCAATAGCAAAAAAAACATGGCTGTTCAGTCCTGTTTTCATTTTATTTTGGACTTAAATTTGAGTTCAATTATGTAAGTTTTAGTTTTTAAAGAAATTTCGCTTTTAAATTATTTTTTTCTATTATTTGGTAAAGTTTAAAATATGGATCGGATCGAACCGATTAATTTGGATTGAACACTTGTATAAAAATATACTCTTCCTCTGTTTTATAAAGAATATCATTGTAAGATTTATTTAATTTTATAAAAACTATCACTTTGTATTTCCAATATAATTTTATCAATAAAAATTCAATTTTAGTTTTGTTATTTTAGTATATTAATTAGAAAGAAAAATGTTTTTCTCATCCTCTGTTTTTTCTGGTTTAGTAAAATATATTTTGTTCTTTCTCAAAAATTATAAAGAATATATTTATTTTATAATTTGATATTTGATAATAAAAAAAATAATGATAAAAACAATATTTATAACGAAAAATAAAAATTTTAAAAAATAAAAAAGAAATTCATTATTCTTTCTAATTCACTTAGTGAAGTCTACATATTATTACTTCTTTTTTTTCTATTTGCTTTTGTCATTTGTCACCCATCACTGAAGTATTTAAAAAAAAATTGGCCCAATTGAATGTTTGTTTTTCTTTGGCACTTACATGACTAAAAGCAAAATCGTTTTGTTTTCTTCTTCTTTGTCGTAATCTAGTGTGTATGCATGCATATAAAATTATAAACTGATAAAAGTATAGACAAAATAATACGTGGAGGAAAAAAAAAACAATTAGTTACATATACAAATAAATAAATGTAGGCATGAAATTGAAATAATGCACACGCACGCACGTATCCAAAGTTAGGTCTGAAAATACGGCAGATGCGGTTTCAATGAATTGTCGGGTACCTAGGTCTAGTGGAGTATTATTAACTAGTAGTATCAGTTTTTGTCTTAATTACACAACATGTGAGTAATTCAACTAGGATAGTTCTCTAACATACTTATATACAGTAGTATATATATTAATGACAATCAGTTTCCAATAATTTTATAAGTCCTGTCGATTTGGATTAATGCGGGACCTAACAAAAGAAAATTATGATTCATGAGGGAAACGTGGATTTTGTAACGTAATTACTAATGAGTATCCGTCCACGATAATTTTTGAAGACAGAGTAACCATGTTTGTGCATGGTTATAAGTATATGTTTGTGTCGAACCATGTTTGTCCGTGCCGTAAGATTCTTCGAAGAGGTGCCAATTTGGATAGAAATTCTTTGTACTTTGAGAGTTCAACGAATGACACATTACGCAAGTACGAAGAGGGCTCTATAGCCAGATATATATTTATAACCATGCAGATATATATCATTAAGAATTGTATATACATACAGATTATATAATAATAGAGATTAATTAAGGACTAATTAACGGGTAAAATATTATTTATTAGGAAATATGGGGTGTAAGATTAAGATCAAGCCAGATTTGCTTGAAGACATTGATGATAATGTGGTGATACTCGTCTGAATTGAGACAGAGGTAGCAAGCTAGAAGCTCCTCTAGATCCTTGGAAGCTCTTATGTTGTTCTCCACGATCATCTCCTCCATCGATTCCTTGAAATCTCTCTTCGGGTCCACCGACGCCTTCACCACCGCCCTGCTCCGTCGTGAACTCACCGCTTTCGCCGTCGCCGACCCGCTTCTCCTTACGCCGCTGCTCGTCGATACCCTAGGCGAGCGCAGTCTAAGTCTAATCCCCGCCGGAGAGCTCACCGCCGTTTTCCGCACGGTGGTAGGTTTATTCGCCGGTTTGGTGATGATCGGCCGGAGATCGAGTTCAGGAGGCGGCGTAAAGGTTGCGGGTTTGGACAATTTGGAGGTAACACAGCTGCAGGGGCTGGGGCAGGAGCTCTCTAACGACTCGTCGGGGATAAGTACTTGATCCGAACGAAACTCCGGCGAGAAAGATCCCGTTCCAGTGGCAGTGCTGTCACCGGAAGTCGTAGCAGAGGAAGTGAAGTTCTTGGGAGCAGAGGACTTTGTAAGGAAGGTGGCTCGGGGGCGAAGGCGGTTCCCGGTGGACTTTCGGGGAGTATGGGACGGCGACTTTTGGCCTAGCCTTGAATGGTGGTAAGAAGAGCGTCTAGGAGGAAGCATAGGACTGCGTGCCGTTGTAGCCGTGGGAACTGTTTGGGGTTTCTTGATGGGAGAAGGAGACACCGTGCTGTTCTGCTGCCTCTGCTGTTTCCTTGACTTGCCCATGTCTCTCAGTTTGTAAAACCATGCGTTAGGGATTAACTCCGATAGCTTAAACCGATAATTACCCATAAAAGAGAGCAAAGTTTCTGTGTGTGTGTTTGTTTGGTCGAATGAGAGGTTTTGAGATGAGAGAGAGAGAGAGAGAGAGAGAGAGAGAGAGAGAGAGAGAGAGAGAGAGAGAGAGAGAGAGAGAGAGAAGAAGAGTCGAAAATATAAAGAGAAAGAGAGAGAGAGAGATAGAAAGTGTGGGGCCCATAAACGTGGAAGAAAGAAAAGAGGTACAGGTGAGATGCTCTCCCCATTTTTATTGATTTTGTGTTAGATTATGTTCGCCTTTCATTTCCCCTAATTACATTGACATTTGACAGTGACACTTTTTTTATTTTATTTATATATAACTCCCAGAAATACTACTATTCATTAATAAAACAGAAAATATATATAGTGCCAATAGGGTTTTTACCGTATGTAGTACTACTTTACTCGTGGTAATTGTAATCTTTTGAAATGCGCATCGCGAGATGATAAAGTAGTATCGAAAATGTCAAAAAGTAGTAAGTTTTTTCCATTGTATTACAGTTTCCTAAATTAGCGTGATGTTCATGTACAAATCAAACATAACAGAAAAGCCCAGAATCTCATTCGTCCACGTGGGGGTCTCGTTTCGCAAGTTACGGGCCTGACCTTATAATTTGGGCTCTCTTGAAGAAATCAAAAAAATTTCAAAATATAATGAAATAGGCCTCATCTATTGTACGGCCCAAATAATGTCACGAAGAGGCTATATTTGGGTCATCTACCACGAAAGGGCTTATCTCTCTTCTTTTTCTACCCAAATAAAAGTCTTTGTGCTATAACGAGAACAAATACGAGAGAGAGAGTCCCTTCTTCGATCTATCAAACTGAGACAAAAAATACAAAATGATGTGTGTCGAACATATCCAATATATATTAATACAAAATGATGTTAATGAACATTTTTGATAGACTGTGTAACGGAGCCAAATGAGAAGCTCGTGGGTACGAGGAATGTGCAACTCTTGCCGAGGCTGACGAAATAATCATATGTATCTCTGTGACATAGATATTAAGGAAACTCAGATTTGTTTATTCTTTTTTTTTATATGCAATTTTTGTATATTCTATAGACGAAGTACGCCCTTGGAAGCTCTGAATTACAAATAATGTATTTTTAATGTGTGAATGCACGGCAACAAGCGAGGTGATGGATGATTATTGTGAACGTATTCAACAAAAAGAGGAGATCAATATGGGCCAAGACAAATTTACATCAAGCCCAATAACGAAACTACAACTTATTGACCCGGAGGACTCAATCGCCATCTGCAACAAAAAAAGACAAACTCTGTTATACAACAGAGAAAGTGGTTAGCATCGAGAAATAAACCCGCCGTAAAGAACCATGCTCCTATACTATCTAGCTGTCATGATCTCCTATTATCACTAGATAGTATATAAATGCTTGACACTTGGAGCATGATCCTAAATCAAAGGGATTATATCTAGAATGTCCTTAAAGTTATATAAATATCCTCTCCTGTAATTGTTCGATGTATGTGTGAAAAACAGAATGTGTCAAAAACAGAGTAACTCCTTTTTCAATAAAGTAAAAAAAACAAATCCTCTTTTGAATTATTCACATATTGGTCTAATCATTTTATATTTCCTGGAATCAACTTATAGAATAAATGGAATACTCACAAATTTCATGACTCAATTAGTGCGTAAGCCGTGTCATATGTCATCGGTTTTGTTTATTATGATGAATATAAAGTAGTTTAATATGTACATCACCTTAATTATTCCTAGGGAAGAAGACAAAAATCTCCCAAACTTATGCTGACTCACTCAAAATAATTTTATAAGTCCTAAAATGGTATTTTCAACACCAATATATAAGAAATAATTCATAAAACCCAGAATATTGAAGATATATCAACATCCGGGTATCGTCAGACCAAACATATGATATAAGTCATATAACCATTATTTAGCTATTTATTTTTAATGCTACTATTTCTTGTAATTGAATCTAGACGCAAAATCGGTTTATGTAGCACATATTAAAAGGCACAATAAATGAAAAATAACAATAAATGTTTTGGAAATAAGTAAATAGCGAAACTAAAGTCAAGGAATGGTTCCTAGAATATGAAGAAACCAACCATGTTCCCGTGTCCATGAGATACTTCGATGTGGTCCTCCAGTGTAACTCCTATTTAAATAAATAATCTTAATATCTAATTATGATTTTTTTTGTTTTTTATTAAAGATTTGATTCATTTTCTCTACTCGAAATTATGGGCAAAGGCCCGAAGATCATTTCTTCGCGTCTAATAATTTTTAAAAACATGTTTAAAGGTTGCATTTTTCATAAAATATTTTCAAAACATGTTTAACCGAATTTAGCTACTGCCTGACGTTACCCTAGTTCTCATTCTTAATTTATAAGTTTCTTAAAATGCGATATCATAATATCACTAACAAATTGTTGACAGACCATCAAAAGATACTACGTAGCAACGTAGGATATACCATGATGGAATTAAATTGGCCGTAAGAATATTCTGCAATTATAATTTGAAAACAGAAAAATCTGCAAGACAAACGGTAACTCTTTTTCTTTAGTTTGTCTCTTGTAATATTGAAACAAGCGTGGCGTGTTTCGTACGTTAAATGTTTGTATAATCGATCTCTATTAAACAAAAGGATGATAAATGTAGTAAAGGGTATAAACTAGAGGTCAGACCATCCATATACGTAAGACAATGCTTACGGGAGATATCAAATATGCATCGTACGTTTCTTTAATTTATATATCTTTCAGGAAACCCATTTGTATTTCTTCCAGTATCCATTTCTTCTGGCATATAGTGGCATGCAATGCGTAAATATATATGGAACGAGCTCGTATTCCATTTTCAAATCATGACTTCTGATCTCAGTGATCTCTAAATCCAACACCAGACTTTACCAGCTTACAGCATATCTACAACATGTTGAACATTTTAATGACACCAAAATTGACACATCTTCTCTGTACCCGAACTCCCAGTTTCAGCTAAAGAAGTTGAGTTCATATCTTATATATTTTTTTCATCATAATTAAGTATATATATATATATATATCGTTAAGTCATAAGTGTCGTCGTAAAATTTTGGTCACGGAGTTTTGATGGATAACGAGTGAAATAATATACTGGCAAAAGAGTTAGATATTTTGTTGGAGCAACCTTTCGAGCCAATGAAAGAAAAGGGGCAATTTTAGTGATCCTCCATTTCTGAGCCAACCTTCCTTGATTTCATTATTATTTTACGAGCTTCTTTTTTTTTTGTTATTGTTTCTGTTGTCGTCATTCTTCGAAAGATCGAAGCTTCTCTGAAATAGCATAAAATAAAATAAAAATCAAATGAAATATTTCGTACACACCATTTTTCTTTGTTTTTGTTGGCTTTGCCAAATTTCGTACATTATTCACGTGGTGATTGATTTTTTAAAATCCAATTCCCGTCCAAAAGAAAATGTCTGTTAGTTTATAATTTCAAAAACCTATTGATTTATGCGTGTCTTATATGTACAAAACTACAAATGGGGGCACAGCGTGACAGCGAAAATAAATAAGTACTGTTATACAGAGTTATTAAAACAACATTGATGTGTTTTTGGACAAATTACAAAAAAAAATCAAGACTGAAGTTGATGTATATTTTGTTCTACACCACGTATGCGGTGGGTAGATTTTCTATGTAACTGACTCTACAATTTTTTTTTTTTAATCATTTATTTATTTGATTTGATTTGTTAAAGAGTTGAGTTCAACCACAAACTTCCATTTGGTTACCACCAACTGTCACTGAGTTAGACTGGGCTCGTTTTATACCCATAATTACACAACGCAACTAATAGTTTGACAATATTGTTGTATTCATGAATATAGAACTCATTTTCTACTAATATTATAGTAATAGCCCAAGATTCGAATACAGTATATATGTTAATAAAGTATATCCTAGAGCCAAAACCCTCGGAGATACCAAATCAACACGTCAACAGCGACGAGACACGTGTGTGGTTGTAATTCAACTTAACGTATACATCTTATTAAAAAAAAAAACAGAAAATCTCTCACGTCTTTTACCGAAAAGAAAAGGGGGAAAGACCAGGTTATTTACATAAACACCCTCACCTCCTACCTCAAGACACTGGTATATATAATGCACGTAACAACTCGAGACAGAAGTCAGCTTTATCTCTTATCCGAAATCCAATTTGATCTCAAGTTAAACAGACCATTTCAGTTCATCATATTCTATTAATAACACTCGGGAGGTTATTTTCTCCCTTTTTCTGCAAGCGTTGAATGTCTTTGGGTTTAATCCGCAATGGTAACGCGAGATTGAGAAGCGAGATCTGATGTCGACGGCAGAATCGAATCCGGCGGAGAACCGTCGTGTGCTGGGAAATTACGAGGTGGGGAAGTTGGTGGGATGCGGCGCGTTCGCAAAAGTGTACCGAGGCAGGGACACGCGGACGGGGCAGAGCGTAGCGATCAAAGCGGTGAGCAAGCAGCGGGTGCACAAGGGAGGCCTCAACGCCAACGTCAAGCGTGAGATCGCTATCATGCACCGCCTCCGTCACCCCTCTATCGTGCGCCTCTCCGAGGTCCTCGCCACCAAGTCCAAGATCTTCTTCGTCATGGAGTTCGCCAAAGGCGGCGAGCTCTTCGCCAAGGTCTCCAAGGGCAGGTTCTGCGAGGATCTCAGCCGCCGCTACTTTCACCAGCTCATCTCCGCCGTTGGATACTGCCACTCCCGCGGCGTCTTTCACCGTGATCTCAAGCCCGAGAACCTCCTCCTCGACGACAAGCTCGATCTCAAGATCTCCGATTTCGGACTCAGCGCCCTCGCGGATCAGATCCGACCCGACGGCCTCCTTCACACCCTCTGCGGCACGCCGGCCTACGTCGCGCCGGAGGTCCTCG